CATCTATCTCCTTTAAAGCCCCTTGAATAAGGGCCACAGTCTCTTCTATGGTTGAATGGTCATTGAGTGTGAGCTTCCACTCACAAGGTATATAAGCCCCCCCTCCAACCTGTTTCCCTCTTACCCATTTTTGAAAGGGTCAAAGGAGGGGCTTTTGTGGTGGGTAAGCCTGTGACCACACTACAAAGAAACAAGAAAAACATGTTTAATTTTATTGAGGTAGGGTTGAATTTGCCCTCAGAGCACAAATATGTCGTTCTGAAGATATTTAGCATTTTGTCTTCCTGATTCCTTTTCCCAGCTTTTTGGCACAAACTCGACAACATGTTCGTAATATCTCCAGATGTTTGTCTACATTTATGACAGAAATTCTGATCAAAATAAAAGAAATCAATATAAGAACCTACTCACACTGATTTAAAACTCATTTCACACACATGATCTGGATCAATAAAGTGATTTCTAGATGAGAGTCGCATACATTGCCGGTGAACACGACCAAAAACAGACCTGATCGATTATAACTAAAACTACATAGACAGACTAAGGCATAACCATCAATCCCAGTAACCCTTCCTGTCCGTTGGCAATTTTCAATGTGTGGTTGCCATTTTTACTAGGTTGTTGCCATCGATGAAACTTTGCCTGAACACACTTTACATATTGTAGTTTTGAGGAAAATTAGTCTTGATTTCGTAAAAATTCGGCAAGATACTGAAATCTAAACATAAAGTCATGTACTTACATTCGATGCCCGTCAAGATGGCGGCGGCGGCGTCGAAGGCCATTTGAAAACTGTCGCTTTTAACTACCGAAATGTGGTAGGAAACTTCCCTTGACATTCAAAAAGCAAGGAGAAGGCTTCTTCATCGGTACTGCTAGTTCGGAAGTCCTGGATATTGAACGACGGACCTGGAACAGGCTTTGAAAAAAGCTGCCTTGTTTCTTGCGATTATTTTTTCCTATTTTTGCGTGTTTTTAGCAGAACAATGGAATCATGACGTCACCGCTTCTTCCAAAACTGGCATACTCCCGAACTGCTAATGCCGAAGCGGAAGCCGACGTGAAGCGAGTAACGTCAAATGCGGGAAGAGTTTGTTCCATTTTAACCCAGCAAAGGTAAATAAGTTTGAATATTGTAATAACCTTTCGAAACAAAACGTTTTTCATAGCCCAATGCGGAAAATGAAGGGTGCTTTTTATAATTTGCATGCAGTGTGTGCTATGTACATGCAAATCTTCATGTAAACTTACGTGAGGGAATGAATTGTTATAAATCTCTACCAAAACACAAAACCATTATAGAAGATCTAGACAACATCATCGGTTTAAAAACTGTGAGGTTAGGTCAATAACAAAATCGCTACACTGCGCTCCCTTTAATGAACGCACAGAGAAGATTGCGGTATATTTCTGTGGCCGTAGCTTTGGTGAAATTCCCATTGTGCTGTAGCTGTTCGGCTTTTTCGGTCTGTTTTTCGCTTGCCTGATAGAAGATTTTTTTGCGCATAAGCATTACTAACAGGCACTGTTTGCAAAATAATATAAACTTGCGGTGAAAATAATATTGTTATGAGAGATGATGAAAGATTTCTCACCTTGCTCTTTATTCGCGCTCCCCGGCTGCCCGGTAATAAAGTCCATCAAACACTGCTAATGGACGAATTTTTTTCATTTAGGCAAATCCAGCTATGAACTTTAGATCTCTTTCACTCTGAGATAAAAATATACACATAAACTCAGCGCCAAACAATTCTTAAAATCTTTTGAGAAGCAGGAAATCGCCAGCTTAACATCGGCTAAAATCGCACCTTCGATCGTCTCCGAATCGCGATAAACTTATTGAAATTGCCTTATGAAGCAAATAGCAAGCATCTAGGGCCACTATGAGATCTTGAAAATTCTCCAAATCGCTCTCTTCGGAAATGTTTTACAGAAATCGAAGCACTGTTTTGATCTCAGGTTTTATTTATCTAGTCGCTCACGAGATGCGTACTCGACCGTGTCACGACTGAAATGAGGTACATTAACAATTTTACCCATGAACCTTTGTTGACGCACACCGTGTGTTTAAACCTTTAGTTTGTTGATTACGCGATGTTTGTCTTAGTTTCGCCGTTTCGCCAAATTGATAGCCTGCGCAGCGAAGGGTATTGTGTGATTAAAGTTTTGACGGCGGAGCCGCGATCCAAAAAAAGTAGTGGGGATGAGGTGTTCCTTCGCCGCCAACTCTCACTCGACTGGTACACAATACCGCCAGCTACACAGGCTACCAAATTGATAGAGATTTTTTTGTATTGTTGTTTCAGTTTACGGTCAATCTTCGGTCAATCTTTGGTCTATAGATTTTTTTTCTTTGGAATTTGGAATTAAATCACCGTTAACCGTCACCATTATTCTCCGTGGTTTTCTTGTTTTTGCCGACGCGTAAAATAGTCCCTACCCTGGGTACCGGAGGTTTTTTCTCGCGTGCGTCGGGGAGCTTCGTTTCGTCGACCGGAGACCGACACTTTTTAAGACTTGACCGAAACCGGAAACCGCGCATGAAAAGCCTCTTGCACCCAGGGTAAATAGTCCCTAACCAAAGGAGGATTATGCAGTCTTCCCATGATTCCATGCGGCAATTTTTCGCGTTTTTTTGTTGTAAGCACCCTTGGTTGTAAGACCCCTGGTTGTAAGAACCCCTGATTGTAAGACCTCTGGTTGTAAGAACCCCTGGTTGTAAGAACCCCTTGTTGTTAGACCCGGGTTGTAAGAACCCCTGGTTGTAAGAACCCCTCATTGTAAGAACCTTTGGTTGTAAGAACCCCTGGTTGTTAGACCCCTGGTTGTAAGAACCCCTGGTTGTTAGACCCCTGGTTGTAAGAACCCCTGGTTGTAAGAACCCCTGGTTGTAAGACCCCTGGTTGTAAGAACCCCTGGATGCAAGAACCCCTGGTTGTAAGACCCCTGGTTGAATGCATCGTAAGCGTCGGAGATGACAATTTTTCGGCTTTGACGGCTTGAAGTGAGTTTGTTTTGTTTCATTCCTTTTGATTGGCAATAAATTGATATACTGAGCGAATTTTCAACGCTATTAACGTATAATTAAATGCCTTATTTTCACGACAAAGAGAGCTGAATTTTAATGATGAAGGTATTATCTTCACTGTCACGGTCGGGTACTTCAAGAAGTGTGTTACTTTCCTGCCACAATAGTGGAGGTTCTGTGAAACCATTAAAATTTTTGTTGAGGGGAAGGGATATAATTTCAAGGAATGACAATGTACCTCGTTGTACCTCAACTCAAAAATCGACAAATCGAAATTAAACATGGCTGTTTTTTATCCATTGGCAGACGATTGCGCGAATTCTCGAAGTTGTCGTTTTAATAACAAAAACAAGATACTTCGGCGCAGACCCACCATAAAAATTAGGCTTAAAGAATTATCTCTTTATGTAACTGGAATAATCAGTAAAACATATTTTCAAATAAATTCAGTAGCTGCAAATCGAAAAGTGCCCAAAAATTCACCGAAATTTCACGCAGAAAAAAGTAACCAATAGCGTAATTGTAGCTTTAATCCGCGCTGTGTTGTGTGTGTGTTTTTTTTAAGGTCAAAAATGTTCATTTATGGGTGAAGGGGAGTGATAGTATCTCACTATATTGCAGAAATGCAAAGTCACTAGCACTTTCCTGGTGTGCGAGAGAGTTTGGGAGTACCTTTCCCTGTAGATAAGAGTTATTTGATAAAAGGAAAAAAACGAAAAAAAGGGGGTCTTCGTTTTCGGGTCTGCGTTTTCGGGTGTTTACTTGCAATTTTCGGGGGTCTTCGTTTTCGGGTCTTCGGGGGTATTCGTTTTCGGGGGTCTTCGTTTCAGATACAAACGCGTGTCACGACCTCTCGGTATAATTAAGCGGCAAAAAAAATGCACAAATTTGCTCAGTCATAATCTACCCGCTGGAGAAAATATTCATTCGAACACATTTTGGCACGAGGTAAATGTCGTGTGTCGCCTACCAATCCCGGGAACAGCAGTGATTTTCCGTCTAGCCGGTCGGCAAGACCGTCAGTGTGTCTCTCCTTTGAATATAATTTACAATGCCCTCTCTTGGTTCACACATATTTCCTCCACACCATCGAATGTTCCAGTGACTTCGACTATTGCCTTATCTAAATCTTCCGTACATACAGGCATCTGATATTTCCAATTCTAAACGCACGTGATGTGAGCTTGGATTGTTTGAATTTGATCTTTGTCACCTTCAAACCACCCGCCTCTCGATCATGCGCCTATTGTGATTGTAATCCAATCAGAGCATTGGAAGCATTCGATATCTCCAAGGAACCAATCATAAGCGCGGTTGTAATTGGCTCGGCTCTATCAAAGGGATGGCGCTCTGGTCCAGAGGCTTTTCGCGCGGGTCACTCTTTACGACTTGACCGAAACCAGAAACCGCTCCTAGAGAGCCTCTGGCACCTCGGGTAAAGTAGACTGCAAAACAGTCCTTTTTTCTCAAAAATCAGTAAAGCAATCGGTAAAGCGTGGCGTAAGAGTATTACCAAGCGCGCGAGCCTCACAAGCCCGTAGGGATTATTCCAAGTATTCTGCTCTCTGGAGCAGAATGTTTGGAATACATTCCATGTATTCCGGAATTGGAATAGCGTCTCAATCGAACGGTTGTTCGGGTTTATTCCTATTATTCTTATTCCGGAATAGTGTCAATCGAACGCACCCCTAGTCTCGCTTTCTGTTTTCAGCCTCGTGACGTTTTGTTTGATTGCTCGTGCTTACTTGAATGCGCAAAAATACGGACTGCGACACAAACCCTCAAAGTTTCGTTCCCCGTTTGTTTGTTTGGGTCGTCTGCAGCCACAAACATTAATTTAAAATCCTGATTATATTATTATAGCCTCTACAAAACAGCACAGAATACCTCACCCTAGTCAAGAACATTTTATCAGCGCCTGGTGCATTTGGTGGTGACGATTTTCAAGGGCAACTTCTACAGCTGTATAATGGGGATCCCCAGACTCGCAAGTTACGTTAATTCGTTCCCAAATCTTTGGGAAGAGGTCATTCTTCCAGATATATATACCAAACTGGTCATAGATGGGTATGGTTTGTGCTACTATCTTTATGTAAGTAATGGATTTGACTTCCGGTGCGGTGGGCAATACGGCGAGTTTTACCGCGCGGTTGATTCGTTTTTTACTGCTTTGAGTTCTAAACGAGTCAAGTGCTTTGTGATCTTCGATGGCGCGGACGATCCAAGCGACAAAAAGTTGGAAACACTCCAGGAGCGAGCAATCCAGAATATTGAAGCGGCGGATGCTTTGGCAAAATCAGCTGATGACCCCAAGTTCTTACTTCCGCCTTTGACCAAAGATGTTTGCCTACAGGCGCTAAGGGATCTTGGCATTCAATTCGCAGTTTGCGACAGGTAAATAATATCAAGCTTTGATAAAACGCACTGTTTCGAAGACTTTAAAAGCGGGAATTCCCCCATGAGGTTGGCAGTCGTCTTACGGGCAATGGTAAAAAGTGAGTACCCGATGCGACAAAGTTGTTCACAGCCCTCAATTTTTTTCTGTATTTTCATTCGATAACCATACAAACTGGACGGAAACTATGTCGGAGCGTGAGGGGATAGAGGGCTTGTTCGCCCCTGGCCTGCGGACACGGTAGGTATAAAACGCAGGTCACAGCAACAGGTCACCGTGCTACGGTAAATATTAAACAACCAAACCCTAATCACAATCCAAAACTGAGTTTTAGCTTAAGGCGAAACTGCCTATCTCAGTTATTTATCAATAGAGCCCTGACCTGCAGTTGTGACCTGTGATCTGTAACCTGTTTTTTGTACCTGCCACTGAGGGCAGGCTCCCAGGGAAACGTTGTTTAAAGAGAAGGGGAGAGACTTTATCTCCTCGCACGGTAACCGGTTATTTTGCCCCAAGTCATTTCGCCCCGGTTTCTTAAACCCCTTTTTTGAGTTATTTAGCGCGCTTTAAATGTCATATTGCTCGGTCTATAAGCCATAAAGAAAAACCAGTGCACTTCAAACGTAACATTTCTCGTTTTAAAAAAGGGGGCTAAGTAACCGGGGAGAAATGACCGTAAAGCCCTCGCTCGAACCCCCACTAAAGATCCTTTTTATAGGCTAGCACGACCAAACACTACCCTGCAATATGAAGCTATGAAATTGTTTGTTAAGTCAGTGTATTTTCTTTTGCGACAAGCAGTGTAGTTTTTGATGTTGTATTTGGCCTAAGATGTAATCCTCCCTCTTTTCCCCAACAGTGAAGCTGATGCAGAAGTTGCTTCCTTGGCTCAATCATTGAACTGCCCAGTTCTAGGCAACGACAGTGACTTCTTCATATTTGATGTAAAAGCAGGCTACATACCACTGTCTTTTTTCGACTGGAAAGCAGATCAATTAACAGCCAGTATTTTCCACCGTAGTAAACTGGCATCACACTTTGGAATTCGCGCAGAACTGATTCCTTTGTTAGCCTCTTTGGCAGGCAATGATTACGTGAAAAGGCACGCACTGGTGGCTTTTTACCGTGCATTGACTGGCAGTCAAAGAACGAATCATTTTAGCAGAAGTGAAGAAAGGTTTGCAAAAATTGCTAACAAGCTGTCCGAGCTACCTGACTCGTGTAACCAACAGGAAGCACTCGAGTCCGTCCTTCAAATGATATCATCGGAAGACAGATGTAAACTGAAACAAGCTGTACAACTTTCCCTTCAAGAATATAACATTAAGAAATCGAATTTATTTGATTATTTCACAACTGGTGCGGTGTGCAGCTCTCTTAGGACACGTAATGGCCACGAAATTAAGCAGTGGGTTTTGGAACGGTTTCGTTCTGGGCTGTTTTCAACCAAATTTATGAATAGTTTAACCTCTGGTAAATGCTTGCTTCGAGTGCAGGTTGAAAACTGTCAAGAAATTTCCGCAAACCGCTCTTCTTTGCGGCTTAGACAGTTTGTTTACGGTATTCTAAACGATATAGAAGAAGGCACAAACGAACCGGGAAATTTACCATCTGTCCAAGAATGGGATAGAGCACCACTACCACTTCTTCCACCAATGCCACTACGTACTGAGCTGAACCAGTTCAATGTTGCACCCTATCAAGAGAATGTGGTACCAGGTATAAGTCACATCCCATATCTCGAGACCACAGAGACGCTAAACTTTTTGTTATTTGCGCTTTATAGTGCAGACACACCCGAAATCGAGGCTTTACCGCAGGATATGAAGTTATTTGCTGCATCACTTCGATATCTTCTTAACCATGCGCAGCCAAAGCTGAAGATGAATCATCTCTTGGCTTTATTATGCTGTTGTGTTAACTTACAAGACAATTTGGCGGAAGAGAACGTGAAAACTCAATCAATTGATCTGCGAGCAGCGCACAGTTTTTGTCAGTGGCAGTCTGTTTTGGGAGACGCTATCAACCTTAACCGCATTTTACGAGAGCCTGTGCTTACGCCGTACATTCATAAGATATACAATGGAAAAATGGCGCACAGTCTAGCGAAGAAACTAAATCAAGGTAAGTTATTTATCGACAAAACACTGAGTAAACCATTCCAGCACTTCCCCGTGCACAAGCAATACTCAAAACTATGAAAATTAGAACAAAAAATTGAAAAACTTAAAAAGGACTTTAACAACAGATTGACAATTAGAGGCATGGTTTGCATTTAACACTGACTGATTATTGTGGTCGAATCTTTCAGTTTCTATCGAGCTCAGCTACTTGCCTGGATTGTGAGACAAAGTCACTTTTCATGCCTTTTAGCGAAGCACTTTTTGCAGGCAAACATTTCCTTTTTAAGTTGACATTTCTTTACATGTTGAATTCCTTTCACGTTAGCTTGAGCTACTTTAATAACCTACGCGAAGAGTCGAGTCACTGCAGAATATTAGTTGACACGACGCGGTTTGCAAATAATATAAGGTTAGAAATACTCTCTTATGTTACAGTTGCAAGCTAACCGTTGCCTTTTCAGTTTAATTTTTCGATGACAGCCGATAGTCCAACACTTCTATACTACAATGAGAACCTTGTTACACCTTGTTACTATCAGGAAAGAACGTACGAAGTTAGTAGTAATTTGTTATGTACTTTCTTTTTCCAGGAAGTACCCCAGAGGAACTAATTCCGTCTTCAAAACAACAGTTGTTCAACCAACTTAAAACTGCAGTAACAAAGGATGTCAAGCATGTCGAGACTGACTGCACCGAAGAAATCTGATGACGGCAAAAGGTGGGAAAATCGATTTGTAATTTTGCGTGACTTGGAAGAACAAGATAGTCAGGATGACGACAAGTGAATTTCTAAAATAATGTCTATTTGTTTCACAACACCTTTGACAATGAAAACTGGGATGATCTTAATTGCGTTTGAAAAGCAAGATACGCTGAATTAACAATGTAGCAAACTAACTTACTAGTGTGGCGAAATGACTTTGTAGCGAAAACACTGGTGACACGTAAACCGTTGAAATGCAGGAACAGGTATCCTCTGCCGACTTAAAAACTGGGACCCGAAATTTCAATTTCTTTTACTGACAAGGACGTAAAACCCTTTGTTTCTGGTATCGTGTGGCGTTTATAATGAAGCTGTATTGAGTCGTGCACCCTACTAAAAGCTCATTTGCGAATGTGCGCATAATTTATGAAATGACAAAGGGCGAGAACGTCACTTGTCCTACAATTGGGAAAAAATTAAGCCAAGGTTTATCCTTTTCCATGCTCCAAGATAGTCGGGAACGTGGATCGAGGAAAGAAAAGTTACGCGAAAACCGCGTGGAAACTGGTGAGAGACGGGTTTTTTCGCTCGCTCGCTTTTTGCTGGCTCGCCCACTTTTTCGCTTGTCTTAATGCACAGACCGAGAGCCTGGTAAAGGCTAGCCAAGTTTGAGAAGACTATAGCTGTAATGTACTGTCCCAGTGGTTCGCTACTGGTATATTATACGTTTTTGTGTTTAGTATAACTGCGAATTACAACTTCCCTTAAGACTAATGTATTTGATATAAACTCAGTGCGTGCACCCCGAATCTTCCCTTGATCCTTTAAACCCCAGTATCCTCATTCAAATTCTTCAGACGAATTTCCACACATTTCCTTAAAGAATAAGTTGTACAGAGAATTTGATAAAGGATCGATGCATTTACTAATTGATTTTCGTAACCTTTTCTCTTGATTGTTGCCCCCGCAGGGATTTCGCCCAGAAGGCGAAATCCCGAGGAGGCACTCTAGTAACTCGCGCGTATATTAATGAAAGTACTTACAGCTGGAATATACAATCATACAGTCAATATAGAAAAAATCTCGATTTGCTTGAACAGGGGCAGCGAGGAATCGGTAGGTAATGATGACGTTTCTATTGTCTGAACCCGCAAGTACGAAATGGTTAGGATGACGTAAAACATGTGCAGCCATACTTCGATACGCTTTTGCGTTACGTGTTATCAGTGACATTCTGTGGAACATGCAGTTGTTATGAAAGTTATGGACCAAAAGACACTCGTTAAGCGCAGATGAAGTTACAAGGTGCGTAGAACAGTGACGGTATATTTTAACACTAAGTGAGTTTGCCACACACGAGTTCACAAATCTTTGATTGGAGACCTTCAGCTGAACCTTGCCAGACACTTTTTCTCTCTTTGACCGGAATAAGACTCGGCCCAAAACAAGCAAGACGAGTGAATGATTCAACGGCTAACTTATCACTAGCAGAACGATGACCGATTACACAAATTCGTCGACCATCAAATTCTGTGCTGACTCATTCCCTGCTCACAGGTCCTTCCGCCATAAAGTTTAAAATAAGACTAGAATGCGCGAGCGTGAATTGATCAAACGTCCTTTTAATTTCTAAGGCTTCCTTTCCGGCAAATAAAATGAACTGAATGTAAAAAGTGAAAGAGAAATAGCGACAAATTCATCTTCTATTTAAATCTTTTCTTATGGTTTAAAATAAACTATTCTTGAAACTGAGAATGTTTTGATCAAAGCTGTGTATGTGAATGGAACCTTGCGTTTATTTCCTGTATTTTTATCACCTATTGTATGGAATATGTGTGAAAATCTTCATTATGAATCGGTATATTTCAAAGAGCTACACAAGGAGCAAGAATACTATATGTATATACAGAGCGGGGGCAGCTGTAGTGTCAACTAGTACTAGTGTATTGATAAGGCGATTTTCGTATGACCTTGAAATGAAAACGCGCGAACAAAACAGAAACAACAAACAACAACGCAAATAGAGCGATTTGATTGGTTTATCGAACGGATACAAACGGGAGTGGCTTTTGGTTGGTTAAGCGAACGCTCGCGTGAAAAAACTTCATGCCCGAGAACTTTCTAGAAATCAATCGATACTTTGCTTTGACGTCATACTTCGACACGATTGGCCAATCAAACAATGCCTTCTCCATATTAGGGTTTTCTTTGGCGGGAAAACGAAGAGTCCATATTTGATCTTTTCGTCCATTGACTGAGAAAGCAAATAACGAACACTTACCGAAACCATTTTTCATGGTCATATGAAAATCGCTCCACTGCAAGGCGAACATTAATGTTGGTACCTCTTGGGACTTAAGGGGTTAATTCGGGATCAGGGATCCTCTATGATATTAAAAACCTTCGATAAAAACTGGGCATCATTATTCACATTTAAACTAAGTTTAATTATAGAAAATGTACGTCTATTTGTTGCAAGAATAAAAAAATGATAAAGTTCTATACACGTTGGGTTTTTCTTTAAAAATTAAAAGCCATTTTACAATTTTGCAAATGTCTAATAAAATGATATTACATTTTGCGGTTTTCATTGGAACTGTAAAGTATTCCACGACTTTGCGATTATCAAATGAATATAATCAGCCTTCGTTAAGGGAAGTTGTTCTCCTTTTGTTCGAAAGAGAAATTAAGGGCCTTAATAAAAATTTTTCAACACCCTTTCAACAGTTATTTATTAAATCAAAAAAGCGAATATTATCTTCCAATGAGCTTGCAATGAATAGTCTTGTTAGGGCGGCTTTCAACTAGGGCGGGGAATCGCCTACAAGACTTAAATTGCCTTATATGGCTGGTTGAGGAAAAGGCGCGAGATTTCTTAAGCAATCACTAAGCGCAGTGAATTCGTAATGGTACCACCTCATTGGTGAATCAAAGGAACTGTTTGACCACGATGGACTTCAAACATATTAGCCCCAAGAAAGGGCACCCAGAGCCATCTACTGTAGATTACTAAACAAAAAATTAATTGCTTAATTTTTAAAAGATTAAATCCAACATCAACCGCCTCTGTCCCCCCTTGAGTGAGAGAGTGCAGGACAGTAGAGACCCTGGTGACATGAGTGAAAACTCTTAAAGTAATGGAGTTTTGTGCATGTAACTTGGGATCGACAATGGATTATCTTTTCCGTGAGATGATCCGCATCTAAGTGCTTGCAGAAGAGTGGAGTTTGCATAAACGTGATTCTTTCACGACATGAAAACCGTTCATGGAAGAACAATAAATGTCGGCAATTCAATATGAACGTTACTAATGCAATGCCGAGTAAATGCGTTCATTAGCCATAACGAAGCACATCGGTATCCAGGCACATCACCACCAACGAAAATCGCCACCAAAAATAGGACTTAGATTTATTGTTTTGAAAAGCCCCAACTATACACAACAAGTGAAAAGAACTTTCACGAACAAAAATTTTCTCTTAACCATTACGTTATCATATTTTAAAGAAAAGATTTTTCTTCAATTTTTTTACATGTAAATCTCTTAAATGTCAAAGTTTACATTAACTGAAGCTATTATCAGTATTTAGGGAGCCCAGTGCTCTGAACTTGTGAAATCCAGTGTGACCAGCATATGATTTCTGTGAAAAAGCAAAGATTTTCTAGTCGCCCGAGAACAAAAGTTAGGCGCCATGGGCCACCGGGCTCTGCTAGAGCACAGCTTTGCCTAGGATCAACATTGAAATTCTCATTTGTTGCACCTATTTATTTTCTATAGAAGTAGTAGGGAGAAGTTGACAAAACATTAAGCAAATTCATCTTGTGTGATCATGTCCTTAATTCTCATGACCACTCTGTTTTACAAAGCATTGATATTACATGGAGAAATTTGATGCTGATCACTCTTAGGGCTTAAAGGGTTAAGAGCATGAGAGCTTCGACGCAAGGATCCTCAATTAGGATCGACAGATTTGTATTTAGGTCGACTTCAAATTCGAATAAGCTTGACGAATGAGTAAAATTCTGGTATTAAACTGTGTCAATTTAATATTTCCGAGTTATTCGACTATAGCGAGTCGACTTTTTGGTAGCGATTTCGTTGGTGGCAAGATGACCGTAAACCAGCACATCTAATTCAGTACTGGTCAGGGTAATAGATCACTGTGTCCGGTTATGTCCATTGCCATATTTGGTGCACTAGCTATGCAGACGGCCTTGAGCGTTTCTTTTACCATTTTAATCGAACATGGAGTCTAGCTCTGAAGAGAAGTCACTCAGCATGCTGTTGATATCCTTCATGAGTTCCTCCGCCGAACTACAAGAGACCAAAAATGAAAAATCTTTAAGCACAAGCATGACGAGCGCGTAAACAACGAATTTTAATCTACTTTGATTCTTGTACTCATAAGCCCTTAAGGTTGACACTGACGCGGTGATAAGGATTTGATTATACGATAGCAATCATAAACAAGTCATAAAAAGATTTACAGGAATAACCCTGTGATAACAGACCCTTCCACGGATTTTTCAACCTTTTAAAGGGCCAGTTGGCGAAAATTCGTCGACAACGCTGCAAAAAGCGCCTTAAGACTAATAAAATTGCCGAGTTTGAGAATGATTTGTTGATTAATAACGAAGAAACAGCTCCACAAAGTCGCGAGATTATACAAAAGTTTGCCTTGTAAGGGGCAAGTTTATGCACTCCCACCGCCACCCCCACCACCACCTTGCAAACGTCAGGGGTACCCAAAGATGGTTTCCTCCGGCTAAATACACTGAAAACTCTTTTTAGGCTATCAAGAGTACTTAATAGATATCTAGAAATGCATTCTAAGAGGCGCTATAAAATTTGCATCTGTTCTGTCTTCCTAGGGGAACTTAAGTCTTTTCGAAATTACAAGGGCTTCAGTATTATTTTCCCGAAACTTTTCGACGCAATTGAACATTTTACGAAAGAGTGAGAATTGTTCCTATTCCTCTCTCTAAACTATAATGCTTACTCTTCCTCAGCTTTCACCCCGTCCTTGCTTGTCGACGTTGTCTTTGCTTCATTCCGCGGAATGCTAGAAATAGCCTCAGAGGATTCTGCAAGAAAAATAATCCACTGCATCAACGGTAACACATTTGATAGGAAAATCATATATTCGCAGACAACATAAAATAAGATACATACTTCAGCAAGGTCACATCAATTAAACCACGTACTAGATTTCCGGTCGTTTCGTCCGAATACAATGTGCGTACGAGGTATTCTCGCACAAAGAAGTAAATTTGCCTACACGGTCTCAGATAGTACAAAACAGCTTTACACTGAGTATGCAGAGTTAGGGCTTCACTTTGCTTTTTTATCATTTTGACCATAAAAATGTAAACACATGAGACAGGTATACAGCTATAGTATAACTAACGTTTGAGATTACGCTTACAAACTGCAAGCAAGGGAATTAACAAGATCCATAACGTTTGTGCACTATCTCCTAATTTTGCTCTAATATAACGGAAAGGCCGTAGGTACCTGTCGTGACAGTGGCCAAGTCCTCTCTGGAACGCGGTCTCAGTATCTGTTTGATTTGTTTATCTAGTTCCCCTTCAGCTGAAATAAAATTCAGAATACATTAAAAATGACATAACAAGGAAGGGGACTGGCTCCATGCTCCGTTTGACCACGAGCCAAAGTAAAGGAAGAGTTAAGAACCGAGGGGAGGGTACTCCCTATAATGGCCTATACGAGTAGTCTTCACCCGAAAGGGGTACCCTTTTCATGCTTCAGGTTTATCAAAGGGTTTGGATTTCACTAGTTGAAGTATATAAAAGGGTGGTGAAATTTGTCTTTCCGTCTGTAAATGGACCTAAAAGGTTAAGAGAAGAATTTATGGCTGTGAAACTGAGTCAAGAAAAATTTCCTGGTTTTGTTTTGTTTTGTTTTTCATATCTTAAAAACGCTACATTTATAGCACTTAAAAGGGATGGAGCGTTCAAAAGTACCTATGTGCAATTTGTATCATTTGTCAATAGAAGGTATTCAAAAGGAGTACCTTTTCTGGCAAAAATGGCAGATAAAAGGGTAAGGGGTCGGAGCTCGGGGCGGAGCCTCCCTGAGTAAAACTTTGTTGAGTACTCGGGGGAGGGCTAAGTAAGAGGGGAGGGACGTTTCTTTACGCGCAAGCTTCTTCTGGTTTTCGGGAACCTATGCTTGTCAGGTTACTTCCTCCTACGGGCAAGTCACTGATACCACGCGGTACTCACTGTCAGTGTTCCCTAGACCGTCCACCAGACCCCGAGTGTCTACATTGTTGCATCAAAGAACGGTTATAAAAGAAAATAGCACAAAAGATAGAATCTGAATATTAACCATCAGTTCAATATATAAAGTAGCCTGCGTGGCCATGTAGATTTTAAGAAGGAGAATTGTTAACTACAATGGCATAAATGCTACGAACATTAAAATGAAGTGCTTAAAAGAATGTTTATAAGCGCAGTTTAAATCTCCAGCTTTTTCTTAAGAGAATTATAATGATTTCCTTTAATTTACTAGATAGAAGATCTTTTTCACTGTTGAAAACAAATTGTTACCACATTTTTTTTTATATTAGTAGTTTACAAGTTAAAGAAAGGTTAACATTATTCTCAAGATAAGCAGTGCTTTCGGTGGTTGATGCCGGGATCCGCGTGTAGCGAGTGGATTAATATGCAGTCAATCAGTTACAGTACAGTGAAGAGAACTCGTTCTTTTACACGCAGTCAACCACTGTTTACCTCTCGTGGCATCTGCCGCGCTCAATCTCTTCCCTCCACTGTACTCATAAGATGTGTTCAGTCGTTCCGGAGCGCTACTTTTCCGGCCTGGCTTTTCAAAGCTTCTTCGTTTTTCCTCCATCTCTTCGATTATAGATTCCACCGAGCCTTGGCTGCTGGTACTGCTGCTACGCGAATGCAAACTTCCGTTTCCGCTGAGTCGGTTGCTTGGAGACGACGGCCACAAGTTGGGATTGGAACCTGTGCTGCTGCGCCCTGATGGCCAACGTGATTGACTGTTACTACGGTAACTATACTCACATGCAATAAATTGACTCACGTGACTTGGGGTGCGTTCAATTGATCGTATTCCGGAATAAGAATACGCAAGAGGTTTGTCTCAATCTCTTGTATTCGTGATTTTTGGACCACTTAAACGCTAGACACATCTGAATTTTCCATTTCAAGCAGATTTCTAGACATTGCAATGCAATGAATGTTAAACAAATGATATCAAGTATTTACTACATTTACTCTCATTCCGAAATACGGTCAATTGAACACGCCCTTAGAAGGTGTCCAGCTCGCATGCAAGGCATATAAGCATGCGCTCGGTTTCTGAAAGACCAGTTAGCCCTAATACAGTATCACAATTTTAATCCACGACTGTATTTACCTTCCTATAGATCTTTCAGAGAATCATTTTGTCTTGTCGTAACTAGATCTCAGAGTTACGGCTCAATAACATTTTCCAAGCTTCAGTAACATGTTCCTGGACAGGAAAACATTTCTGAAATTTGGCGTAACCCTGGTTAAACTTAAACCATCTTTTGAGGAACTGGGCCATGAAAAATGGTCACTTTGAGATCCTATGTAACTGCGGACTCTTCAGTGATTAGATAAAGAAAGCGACATACGAAAGCACGAAGCCCTATTCATTCAGTTTCTAAGCCAACATCAAAAATCGCTCCACAGCAATGGTTCGCGTTTTAAATTTGAGCTAAACCAGACGGTGTACTGTGTGGTCTACACAGGTAGCTCTGATTCATTATTAGTTCTCTTCAAGGCTACAGCTTCGCATGCAATGATTGACAGAAGTTTCAGTGGATATGCCAGCAACCTTGTGCTTCAATTTTCATTTGTTACAGATTCACGATATTTACCCTTACAACATTAAATCATGCATTAAGAGGCTCCACTTATTAATAGCATGCAAAAATGAGGAATTTTCTAAAGAGACTGTCATGCTGTGCCGGTGAGGGACACAATTTTATTTTAACTTGGGTTGAAAGCAATCCAAAAGCTGGCTGGATGCTTGCACGCATGTAAGCATCCAGTCTATCAATAAACTCATAAAGAAATACAAGAGACGTAACTATAAAGTTTGAATGAGAATAAATTTAACCCTTTCACTCACAAAGGCCTAAAACCTCCAAAATACCATAAATTTGTTTTGTAAGATACTGAGAAACAAAAATTGACCAAACGAAAGTACTGCCACGATGGTTTCGTTTCAATGGAAACACCAGAGGAGCTCACTCATTAGCACTTTTCAAAAGAGAAGGTAACTGAGCCTATAGTTTAACTTTCGCAGACTTCAGGGATCGTTACTGGGGACGCACCGGTCAGCTATTGGTCAATTTTTTACCTGTTCCTAAAACAGTCCCAGAAGTCTTTGCGAAAGTTAACTCGGTCCAGTTTCCTACTCGGTGAGTGGCGAATAGCGTCAAAAGTTGAAACTAGGTGTGGAGTGATGGAGTGAGAGGGTTGAGCGGGGTGTCATGCAATTGCGGTGACCACAGTTGTCTTTTATGGCGCACTAAACTAATAAAAAGTTATTAAGGTAGTAGACAATACAGCAGGGCATGGCTGATGAACTTGTGGCCCGCATCCACTAGGAGCACTTCTGACCCTCTAAAACAAATTACAAATCGACACCCATTAAAACGTTTTTAACCCGCATAAAGGAGTGACGTTTACGAGGCGGAACTGAAAAAGTCACTGTTCCCCAGCTTAGTGAACTTAACGAAGCCCTAAGGAAGCTATAACGTCTAGAATCCTTCATGTTAAAAACGCCATTGTAAGTTGATGTTACACGAAATACTGTGCACCCCTCCCCCCGAGAGTTTCAGTTATAATGTATTTACAAACTGCGCAACAGACAAGCCACGCGAACGACTTCGTAAACTCTAAGAACCATGCAAAAGAGAAACCTCTGCTCGCAGTGTAGAATCAGTCAGATCTTGAGCAAGTATATTTAAATTTCACTTTTGGTTGGTTAGAAAGTGGTGCAAAATGTTTCAGCCGATCACCGACAAAATAATCAAGACATCATTATCAACACTCAACTGAAATGCCCCAACGTTTAAAAATATACTTACTGTCAACAGAAGTCTTTGAACTAAGAGGAGAATGTGCTTTTATCGGTGACCTATCTCCAGAGCTCTCATCTCCTGAGCTTTTGTCACTGGATCCTGAGAAAGACGGTGATTTTCTTGGTTTGGGTTTAACGGCAGGTGGAGGGGGCTTCTTGGCGCTTTTTGGTTTGACTGGAGGCGGTGGGCCTGGTTTCCTTGGCTTCTGAAACGTGGAGTCCACTGTGAAGGCCCGTATTCTATCATTTTCTCTCCGCACCGCATCCTTCACAGAACTAACTGGAACTTTGGAATCATCCGCCAAGTTATTTAGTTTAGTGTCGGGTACAGGAAGCGAGATGTCAATATCTTCCATGGGTGGAGGGGGACGGGGAGGGGGTTCGTCATCTTCGCTGTCCGGAGTAGGGTTAATGTTCAGTGTGTTTGCTCCTAGAGATGGATCCACATCGTTTTTATCAGGGACTTTTTCTTGAACTTCGGTGGATGGAATGCTTTCCGCGTTATTTGATATTTGTGGAAATTCTGAAGGCCGATCTTCCTGTTGATCTTCCTGTATGTTTTCACACGGCGATAGTGTCTGAGTGTCGTCCTTTCGTAAGCCTCGCTCGGGCGCAGATTCAGACTCAGCTGACGAAGAATCTTCCACGAACGGCTCCTCGTTGAGCGGAAAAGTTGGTGGAGGTGGAAAGTCCATTTCGCTGTCATCCGTTCTCGCGTTATCGGGTTCCACCTCATCCGTGGAAACGCCTGAATCGTCTCCGTCCAAACAGGTTTCTAAATAACCTTTTCTTTCCTGCGGTGTCAGCTCTGTCTCCGTCTGTATTGTTAACAAATTTCCGTTCTCGTCTCCTCCTTTCAGTGCGTTCACAGCCATCCATATCTTTCTCTGGTGGCCTGGCTTTGTGACTCCAATCGTTACTAGGTCTTCCACAGTCATGTCTTGTAGGAAATCCATGTCATCAAATCCGCCGTCCATAAACTCGGGAATATACTGTTCTAAACCAATAAGACGCAGCCAAGTCATGATATCTTTCTGCAAGAAAAGCATCACAAATTTTCAATGTACAATAAAACCTAGGGGGCACTTAGAGGGGGGTTTTAGTGGCGCGCCAAACCTCAAAAAAGCCTTCTCTTCAAGAACTCGCCTGTGTAGCCCTTTCAACCCTTTGTAGCATACCGTAAAATTCCGAAAATAAGCCTCGGGGCTTATATTTTTCAAAGGCCCTTTTTGAGGGGCTTGTTTTTGGAGGGGCTTATATTCGGAGGGGCGTATCTACGGAGGGAAATTTGCGTTTAAAAATCGATTGCGCTAGCCTTATAGTTGGAAGTAAATTTTGTATTTGAGGGCAATTTTCCAAGTACAAGCCCCCGGGGGCTTATATTTGGAGGGGCGATTTAATGGAGGGTTTTTTGCAGCACCGCTTTGCGGGGGCTTATATCTGGAGGGGCTTATACATGGAGGGGCTTATTTTCGGAATTTTACGGTATACAAAAACTCCTATCGTGTCGAGAAAGTCAGATTGTCGTATTATAGCAATGATAATACGAATACATGCCAGGTTCGTAGTCCAGGAGTAAACAGGAGGAAGACTGGGGAGAGCAACTTACAAGATATTTAGAACTAGAATCTAATCATATCACGACTTTAACTTACTGGTTTTTCGTTGGGAAAAATAGTTGTTTCTTCCAATCTCGCCACCTCTGATAGGATCTTTTTTCTGTGTCCCGTTTTCTTGACGTTTATAGCCGTCAAATCCTAGAAAAAGGTAGCACAAACAGACCAGTATAATTATGTATCTAATTAAGAAACTCTTTTTTGCAGAGTTATTGACCAATGGTGTCCGTGTGTCTGTGGCAGGGAGAGCAGGAAGGGGTGAGTTGGGGACTGCACGGTCACGTGCGATATTAGCTATACAAGTAATACTGCCGAAAGGACCAAAGTAATTAACAAATCTTGTGATTATGAAATATAAGATCCATCAATTGCCCTCATTAGTCTGCTCGATTAGCCCCAGCTGTGGTGCCAAATACATCTCTGAAATTGTTGAAAGAAAGCGTATCGCTTCAGAAAAATGACATGTATTTTGTGTCTCTGGAGTGTCAGCTACAAACAAGGAGCACTTTTACTGTGTCTAGAAGCAGCACTTTACAACATCCCGTGGGCACTAGGCAGGTATGTACCGCTGAACAAGGTATTGTTTTCCGGGTTCTAGTTCCATGTATGTCAGCTAAAGACGGAATCCATCAGGAAATTGAGTAATTTTAATTTTCAGTGGACGAAAACCTTTCACCACAATAATTTAAAGCATGTTGTATTCTTCCTTACTTTTTTAAGGGCTAAAGATGTAATTAGTTAGCTGTAATAACACCAAAGAAAATTTCTTAGGGGAGTCCGAAAGAATAAATGTCAAATTTCACAAAATGACATCTTACACATGAAATTTTCAGAATTTTACCTGAGTTTTCACAATTCTCGTGAAATTTGAAATTATTTTCTCGGGCTCCCATAAGAAATTTTCTTTGCTGTTATTACAGATAACTAATTACATCTATAGCCCTTGAAAAATGTAAAAAGGATTTCAATATTCTTTAAATTATTCTGGTACAAGGTTTTTGTCCACTGAAAATTAAAATTACTCAATTTCCTGGTGAATTCCGTCTTAATTTCTTGTACGACGAAACGAATCTGGGTCGTAAAGTACGTCTCCTGTTGTCGTAAACAGGGTCAGGGTTTGAAGGACTCGGCAGCAACCCCTAAACTTCACTTGAGTTCCCTCCGGGATAACTTCAGTTAGGGCTCAAAGGCTCAATAAAACCTCGGTATTTTGTTATTTTATTTAAAGTTGATACTCGAGTGACTTGTCACTCCTTGCCTTGTGAGTGCGATGAATATTCGATTCCATCTCGTTTCGGAAAGACTCCCACGTCTTCCCTCTCAAATTAAACCTGTTAAACAGTCACTAGAGATTCAGCTCTTGGTAAAAAACGTACTAGAATTTATGATATAAAAATAATGTTCAGCCTGTTTTCTGTTCAAATTAACAAAATGAAAATCTAGGCTAGGAGTGAAATAATCACTTGTTACCTCTGCTGTGAGTCCATGCATACTCGTCATGTCAAAACCACCTTTAACAAAATTGTCGATATAGATGGTCAACTTGAATCTCTCCAACCAGTCGTAGAGCGCGTTGTAGTCTCGCATCTAGAGAACGAAAGGCAAAGAAATAAAGGACCAGAGTGAGTAACAACCAGAAAAAAAGGTCGTGCATTGGGAACGCACAGGTAAAACGTACCGAAATATCCCTAAATGGCACTGAGTTAAATACTTAATTTGTAATGTTAAGTGGCATAAGATGGGGACAACAATTGGAAATGAGTTGAGGTCCAAACAATTTGGCAGTGAGAAAGATAAATGATTACCCGCGAGCAAAGGCTACTTTTCATGAAATGTACTGGTGCGCGAAAAGCTTCTTTTTGCAAGCCGATATATATATATCTGACGAAAGAGTAGCATCTGCCCACGATCTCAGTGGTTAACCTTTCAACCCCTAATACTGATATATGTCCTCCTCACTTTTTTCCTCACATTTCTGGCGGCAATAATGACGAGAATTTGTTTAAAAATCAAGACCTTATTTGCTGATATTCCGATATTTACACGAAATGTTTGCTTAGTTGATTACGCAGTGTCATTATAAAAGGGGAGGATATTCTAGTCACTGTTGGCCTTTCAAGACGGGTCAAAATGATACAGTAAAAACAAAAAAACCCGGAATCCATTCAATTATCATCATTATTGCTGTCAAGTCAAGACGGTTTTGCACTGATAGTAAATAAGTAGCGATAAAAGTAAATAATACAAAATTTCACTAGAGACAAACGACCGTTTCGAACTCACCAAAAACATTTCTAGTAACACTAGAACTGTCTATAATAAAAGTGAAAAACAAAACTGTCCAAAAAAGAGTTTTGGGTAGTTCAGAGACTCACCAAGGTAACACACTTGTTCACTTGAAGTAAGCAAAGAGGGAATGTGCATGTTTAAAACTAAGCTAAAATTGTAACTTGTTTATAAACGAATCGGTAGTATGCTATCCAACCACAAACAACAGGTACACGGAAACAAACATCTCGATTATTTCCGCTCTCTTAAATGCTACTGAACACCCCCTATAACTAAATAAGGATAAATCCTTATTCACACAAGCTACATCAACAAAAAGCCCACAAAGAAATCTCCTTTCAGTGATAAATGACGTCAATGCTATTTATGACGAGGTTGAAGGAATCACTTCACTATCTTAAGACAAGTATAATCCACTCTTAACCATGATCCTCACTCTTTTCGAAGAAACGTTGACTCTAACTTGCAGATATTTTTCTCAGTAAACTGTGGAGTAATGTAGCACTTGACTATTAAGTATATCAATTCTCTGACGGGTGGGTCCACCACCTGGAGCCTATTAATCGCCAAAGGCTCTTGAAACTTGACCTAGCGACTTCCGTAATACAGTGCGTCTGTCTGCACGATATCGTTTCCAATAATTCCTACGCAAGTAATGAAAACTCCGATCGAGTCGGGATTTGTCAGGGCTTTTTTCAGCGTTTGTGAGCGGAAGGAAGGAAGAATGCCCATGCTATACTCTTTTGAATGTATTACGACGCATAAAAAAAACCTGGTGTGTTCTGTGTGCTTTCTTGACTCACCTTTAGCGGGATTTGACCCGTAGGCTCCGAGCGATCACCCGCGCCCGCGTTTCCTAAAACGAAACGAACAAAAAAAATGTCACAAGCCAAGTGGAAGCAGGCACCAAGCACCAAAATCAAAGATAAACAGATATTAAAAATACTTCTTTTCCATGATAAAATATGTTACTATCAGTGTTGAGAAACATTTCATAAACATAATGCGTACAATGAGTGCAAGCAATACAGGAGAACAGCATGACCGAGTCCTGAGACACAGCCATAAGCCCTCCGACATGAAACCTTTCTTCAGCTTACAAAATTGTGCAGCAAAAACAATACTAATGGAAAGTATTGCTAGATATGATAATCACATGGTAAGATTTTATCCACAGACTGAGACATTTGAACAAATATCACCACAGTTTGAACAAATAAACAAGTGTTTTTGTTTATTCACATCCACATTCTATCACCTAGAGCTTTGATTCAGCAATAAAAATGCTATCACGCGATAGTGATGCTACGAAGCGTTTCTTATGTACATCACCAACTAATTAAGTGCAGAAGCCGAAGTGACAATAGAGAACCTAAGCTGCGAAGAAGAAAACCTACTTTGCAATTATTCCACCTTTTTAAACTTTTGAAACAAACTTGTAGATAAAGTATTTAGAAAACGAGCAAGTAAACTAAAAGTATGTTAGCGCAAAAATCTGGCGAAGCTGCATTAGTAAGACTTAGCAGTGATAATAACGGATTTCACTGTTATGAGTTCACGTTTTCCAAAAAAACCTTCAGTTAATCTTAGCTGCGTTGTTGTTCTGCAGAGGCTGGCAAAGAAATGCACAAAAATGAATATCGTAGGCGTAGACACACAGCCGCCGTCTTCAGTTTATTGCTTAAGCTCTCCAATATTCCATGCAAGAACCTAAGCCTCTATAACTCATCGGATAATGGCGAAACAATTAATTGTATCCAAAGAATTGCGACCACGAATTCTCCAGAAACGCAGACGACTCATAAACATGACGTCAAATATTGTCCTCATACGGAGTGTCAGGCACGTATATTTACACGTTTCCAGAATTCCAGAGAATGAAAATGCATACTTTGTAATTAGCAGGTTGAGATTTAAGACTCTTTACTTACCAGGTTTTTTAATGTTAACATATTGATGTTTAACAGGTAATGCATCGCTTTTCATCAGCTCATAATCCATCGCATCTGTACTCTCGCCTGCAGCAAAAGAAACTAGTCAAACTAGCAAGCATAGAGACATTTGTAAGAAAAAACAATGATTAACGTATAAAGAATAACCACTACGCTGAAACTTGAAGTAACGAAAAGTATTCTGAGCGTAGTTTTTCACTAGCAGACAATTTTTAGACCCTGCTTACGGAGACTGGTTATGAAAGGCGGCAAACATCAACGATAAAAACATAATGGGGAGCTCCCTGACGATGCACAATCCTTTTTTTGTTGTTGTTGTTCACAAATTGTGACGGAATGAATTAATGCGACGTTTTTATTGATCAATAAGATAAAAATGACCTAAATGATTGGAATGCTATTGAACGTTGTGCACCTTAAAGTCCACAAAAACATACAACAAGGGAGTCTGACAGGCTTCATAACCCGGGGGGTACTTTAGGAATTTCTGGGTGGGGATGTGCCGCTGAGACCCTGGAACCCTTAACCTATACCAGAGCTAGTTCAGCTGAATTTTGCTACCCTATACTAGAGTAAACTCCCCAAATTCCCCCTATCCTAGAGTAGCTGTTTCCCTAGTCTCGATAAAATCTTCAACCAACTGATCAGTTTCCTGAAAAATGATACCCTATTCTAGACTCAAACGCTCTGATTTATACACCCTATCCTAGAGTAAACTGCTTGAAAACCGTACCCTTCACAGCGGCACACACCTATATAACCCATATATGTCAGTACCCCCCCCCCCCCCCCCCCATTCCCCAGGATGAAAAAAAAATTCGACCAACTGGTCGCTTTCCTAAAAATTCAAACCCTTTTTTTGACTCAACCCCCTTGATTTTACCCCCCTATCCTCAGTAAAACTGCTGAACACCCCTTCCCTTCCCACCGCACCCCCCCTTATATCCCCAACTTTTTCAGGTCCCCCCCCCCCCCCCGGCTTCATAACCATTCCACTTCATAATATAAAACTATGATCAGAGTGGACCAGGATTAGGAAAACTCGTGCTGTATACTGTCCTTTTCAATATCCGTCAGGCTCACTTCAGTTACTTTATATCAAAAAAAGGGGGATTTCTCGTGGGAAAAATTAGAATCAAACAGCTAAAGGAGGACGTGGCTCAGTGAGCGGGCGCTCAGACTTTATTTGTCCTCTAAAGAAGATCATGCTAAAAGAGACAACCAAGTAAAGGCGATAGTGATTCCAATCGCGCTAATGAGAGCTGTCTTTACCACAGTATGGAGGAGTGTTTTTTTTTCCTTTTTTTTTTCCAATCAAGATATTTCTTAATGCACAATCCTAAACGATACTTGTATGTGTGAAGAAATTGGCTTTCGGTCCTGACCACCCTAACTAAGTGAGTCCAACATCTGCCATTAACAACGCACAGCGAGAAGACGGTCATCCCCGTCCATTTCATATGGGGAGTGACACCCAACTTTACGGTTAAATTAAAAGGGGCTATGTCAGGAGGATATTACTGTTTTAGGTCAATTCTATGCTGAAGTCATTACTTACTGTCTTACCCGTACACAAAATGCTCCGTTAGAGACAAAGCCTGCGTAACAGGCACTTGGAAGTGGTGGGCCCAAGAAACAACGGGGCGCGCCAGGGAGACACGCGCCCATTCTTTCTAGCGCCCAAATACTTCCAAGCGCCTGCTACGCAGGCTATTAGAGATATGAAGAAGATATCAAACAAATTTCACCAGGGAGTAGTAAACATAATAATTTTAAATCTCTTTCCATCCTTGTCATCCGTAGAAACAGACGACATTCAACAGTTTCAGTGCCTGAATATAGTCTTAAATAATAAAAACTGGACCATTATTTTTAGAATTCAAATGACGCAAAGACAAGTCAGTTTAGCTGATTAACCCTTTAAGTCCCAATCGTGACCAAAATCAATTTTCTCCTAACGATATCCATACATTGTCAAGAGATTAGGTTATGAGAATAAATATATAAAATGATCACCAGAGGGAAAACGCTTTGATCTTTTATCAAATTCTCTCAACTCATTCTTTAAGGAAATATATAGAGATCAGTTTGGAGAATTTGTATGTGGATATTGGGACTTAAAGGGTTAAGAATACTCTATACCTTCATCAGCGGAATTCCTGTCCTCTGGAAGTTCTACTCCCAAGGTTTTATTATCCGTCCGATCAATTTGTTTTGAGACTCCAGTCATCGGCACGTAATAGCCATCATTCTTAACGTTCTCATAAGCCGCACGTTTCGTGGCTGAAGAAGAGGTACGTGGCGTGACGGCACCTTGCGTGACAGCGCCAGGCGTGACGTTTTCATAGCTCCTCGAATCAGCTGGTTTTGAAGGCTGTTGGTTAACAACAACATATCCATCCTCACCCTCTGCAGGTTGATCAATGTCTGAGATACGCATGCTTTGCTTGTCGCTTAGTGGGACCTTTCTACTTTGCGGTAAGCTGACGTTTTCGTACGGTAATGGCTGCTGCCTAGAATGTTCTCGAATATTCACTGGCTGTGGTTTCCATATGTCTTCGACAGGGGGAGTTTCCCTTCCGCCACTAATTGGGCCAACAGTCATTTCCTCGTATCCTTTCCTTGACAACTCGGGAGTAGCTACCCGCTTTTTGGCATGATTGGAAACACTAGGAACCGACCGACCCTCGGGATTCGCATGACTCGCGGGTTCGGTTACGGTTGGAAGGACTGCGGGTGGTCTTACAGCCTTGGCAGCTGAGAAATCAGAATCAGCAACGTCGCTCTTAGTCCGTTTTTTGGGAGGTAAAGATGGCGGGGGGTGGGAAGGTGGTTTTCGTACCCAGATATCTTCCGGTTCGTCTACAGAAAGAGGCTTTTTATTACTTTTTTGCGGCAATTGAGGAACGTCTTCACATTCGTTCACCTCCTCCACGTAATTATTCGGTGGTAAGAGAACTTCAGCATATTGTGTTTTGCTGTTTGCCTTACTTCCTCCCGCTGAGCTCTGAGGGGGTGATAAAGGCACTTTTTCGACTGCTACTTCCACGTACTGCAAACCAGCGCCCAGCTTGACTGAACCCTTTTTGGCCTTCAAACCTTTCTCAGGCAACGGCACAGGTGCAGGACTAGGGCTTTGATCAGCGCTTTCAGCGCTTTCATCGCCACGGTTGCGTGCTCCCTTTTTACCAAAGCTACTTAACCTTGGGGAATTCCTGTTCATTCCTGGAGATGGAGGAACTGAAAAAAAACAACAACAACAAACAACTTATTTTCAGTAACGGAAATGAAGCAAGAATATCTTCATAACAATAGACATGCCCGATTAGATATTCCAGCGACCATTTTCACCCCTCCATATCTCATTGTATATTCAAGTGTATACCAGGTAGTGAGAATATGTTACTATCTGTAAACATCTTAATCGACCTTTCACCAACGTGAATCAAAGAAAACCAAGACTCTCAAATGCCAAAATAGAGCAAATCTTCAAGAAATCTCTCCGGCAAACAAAGAATGGGTTCCTTTGTATCTTCTTCAGTTTCGCGAGACTGTAAATCGTTTGAACTTAATTTGAAAATCATAGTAGTAGACAGCTAGAAGTCTTGGAAGTGTTAACCAAAAGAACTGCGGAAGACTTGTCTCAAAGTACATGTGGACATAACACAGTGACTAAAAGGATGTGTAGGCGACATTTTCCCCCATCTCGTTCCAGCACGATGGAACCTCGATATAACGAAGAGCCAAAAGACAGGCAAAATATGTCTGCTGTAACAAGGTTTTGTTATATCGAGGTTCTTTTCCTTAAAGTTTATTATAAGTGGGTGGAAGAACATCGTTCGTTATACTGACGACTTCGTTAAACACAGGTTCGTTATACCTGGTGCTAAAGCGACCATCTCGTAAGATCCCTTTGGAACAGCACTGGACTCTGCCTTTGATGATCTCTTACCTGAAACTTAATTTAATTGTCGCTAAACTCAAGTATTTTATTGAAAAAAAAAAACGTAAAACCAAAAGATTCCCCTAGCAAATTTTGTGGTATTACAGGTGTTAAAATTATAGGATCCCTAATGAAAATGTTCCCAAATCTCCGCTGAAAAAGTCGGGAAGATGCAATGTAGGAGGGAGAGAAGGTGTGTGCGTGGGGGGGGGGGACAATAATTGTACGCATAAAAACAAAAATATAAATGGTTAAAACATATGCTGTCATGCGTTGAGGAAACATGCGTTGAGGAAACAGGTGCTGCAAAGCAGTCACTGCTATCAGCTCAACTTGAACCTAACAGAAAATTTGACAGGAGTCGAACTTATGACCTTCTGTTTACTTGTCCAGATACTTTACCACTGAGCTACACAAGACTCGTGGATGCTAAGGCCACTAAACTAGAATCAAGTGACACACATTCTTCAAACTCATATGACTGGAATATCAATATGTCACATATTATGAAGAAAATGTCACATATTCTGATGACAATGGTGGTGGTGGTGGATGATGATGATGATGATGATGATGGTGATGTCTAATCGCAAGATTATACGACTGTTAATACATTAACAAAAGTATATATAACTAATGACAAACTATGAATGACAAATTTCCTGAACCAACCTCGCCTAGACGAAGGTAGCCTAACACAGTTTCCTGGGAAGTAGCCCACTTTTTCATTCTGTGGAATAATAAGTAAAAATTTTGATCTTTTACTTTTTCAGTTAAGCTTTAGCTAAATAACTCATCTCCACAGCATAAATTCAACCAATGTAAAGAAGACAACCGTTAGAGGTCAAAAACCGCAAGCTAAATGGAATAAGAAATGACTAGAAAGAAACCGGTATATTAAACTACAAAATAAAAACTTGATTAAATATAAACAATGCATTAACCACCAAGTGCTTACATCTCCATTTTTTTTTTTTCCTTTCCATCTATCATTCTCGTTTTGTTCCAATACCTAAAATGAGAGACGAAAAAAGAAACATCACGGCAATGCAAAAAAAAACCTTTTAATATCACGTGACTGTACTGTTGGAGTAAATTCAATTAGCCAATCAGCAAATAGGTCATTTGCACGATGACGTCATTTTACTACTGCGACCAGGATCCTCCAGGGTTTTGCATTCTTGTGCAAATAAGGGCTTTTGCTATTTAAACCTCGACGGGATTAACAAACTTAAATGTGAAGGGCAAAACGAAAATAGGAGCCCCTAACGAAAAGGATTCTGGTCGTAGTAGTAGAATGACACCATCGTGCAGATGGCCTATTCGCCACTTTCCCATCTCCCATAATGCACCTTATTGCCCCTAAAATTTTGCATAACCTTTATTTTTCACTTCTCTTGGGTATAGAGTGTTTTCACATGACATCACGGCGGCCATATTGGTGTCCCAAAACAATGAAATGGCGGCCATGTTGGTGTCCCAAACCAGTCCTCTGGGAGTTGAACTCCTTTCTTATGCAAATGCTTTCTTTTGTTTCAATAAATTTGCATAGATGCTGGCCACGTGAGTGAAAACACTCTATTAAAGCCGTCTCGAAAGAAATTGAAAACAATGCTTATGCAAAATTTTGGGGGGCAAATAAGTTGCATTATGGGAGATATGCAATAGGCGAATTTCGAGAGCACAAAGCGCGGGAAATCGTGTGTAAGCAAGGCATGGTTGCTTTGTTTTTACTTTCGATTGGTAGGTGAGAAGGCCATAAAAAACAAGAGCGCAAATACCACAAGGAGCAGGAAGACCGACGTGCGCAAACAGGCCATAGTTTCATCTACATCGCTGTCAAACGTAGCGGGTTTTTTCTCTCTATATTTAGTGGGACTTTATTAACAAGGGAAAAGATGTTTAAAATACATGGTAAATGCGACTATTTTCATTTTTTTTTTTCCTTTTTCTCAAAATCAAGAGCAACAAAAAACAACAAAATAAAAACCTCGTGCCCGTGTAAAGTGTCGAAAACAAGTCCGCTGTTTCAGTTTTCAAACAACAAGAGAGCAGAGCTGTAAGATCTCAATACACGATTATCAGAGAGGAAAATAAAGTGCGTTTGAGTGACCAGAACTTTTTAAGAGGAGTTTGACTACTAACTTTTTTAGTAGTAACGTTTCAATCTTTAAACGACGAAAATGACAACCTAAGCTTTGAAGCACTTTGTTTAACGTTTGCAATTTTCTCTTGTTTGACCACGGTTAAGGCCATTGTTTGTTTGTTACTTCAGAAAAAAAGCAAAAAAAAAAAACCATGGATTGACTAGCTGATCACAACACGTCCCAGTACAATAGTAAATTGTTAGGCATTACAGTCGAATATCAATTAAAATCGGCTGTATGTGCCTTCTTGTTTCAGGTGGAATATATAAACACAGTTATAAAAGACAACCATTGGGCCTTACGATAATAGTGTCTCCAGTCTTGAAGGGTAGAGCTGTAGGATCTAGCATGTTGAAGTGATCTCTTACAGCTCTGGCATACACAGTACGGTCTGCAGCAGCGGCATCTGAAACGATTGAAATTATCAATGAAAAAAAAAAAACTCCCTTCTATTTATAAGGGTCATGTAAATTGAACAGCGACAAAACGTTTTGTTGACGCAATCGTTTTGTATTGTACCTTAAGCATGTTGTAAATAGAGTTTTGTTTCTTGGCTGGTTGTTTGTTTCAAAGAAGAAAATGAAGACCGTTTGCCGCAAAGATAAAGAATCAAACCTTTTAATAGTTGTTTGATTTCTGACGATGCTTTGGAACTTGTGAACAGATTTACGACATCAAGTGCTGAGTATCCTTCATCATTCCTGGCATTTGAGTCGATGCCCCACTGGAATAAACACAACAAACAAATATGACCTTCCACTTCAGGGCGATTTTACTAAACCTTAAATCTACATTAATTGATAGACAGATAACTGGTTGTCTATCACTTGTTCTTACCACTGTTTTACACAGTACGTCCACTCTCTTCTGTTTGACGATATTTTTCAATCATGTACTGTGAGCCGCAGAATTAACTAAACAAGTTCGGCGAGCTAACCGAAATAATAACCGGGCAATATAGGTCAATACACAGGTCTAGCTACTGCTCATACAAATGTATTCCTCCTCAAGTAGAGAAACCATGTAGACAGAGAATTACGTATTTACTCGAATAAGCGCCGCCCTAATAAAGCACAGCCCCCAAATAAGCATCGCATTTGCGACAAAAAGTTAATGATTACCGCCCCGAATAAGCGCCGCGGCCCCGAAAAAATAGGGAGCTTAAGCAACGACGAGGGCGACGTCAACGGGAACGGAAAAAAAGCAATAGGTTGAGATTAGAAAAACAACAACTTTGCACGTGCATCACGCTTTTTTGTACATTTCTTTGCCGTCACTGCACGACTACGACGTGAAAATACCTACTTTCACGTTTTGTGGAGGACGTGAACACAAGACAACGACTTTCTTTTCCTTTTGTTGAACTTTGATACAGTCTTTTAGAATTCAACTCCAGAAAAAAATGCCAACATTTGACGAAATGAACAAGAAATAACGGCTACAAAGTTTGACGCTGCGCGACTTCACTTTATGATTGACGTTTTTGTAGCTGTCGCTGTAGTTGTTGCTTAAGCTTTCTATTAAAAATTAAAAGGTTCTTAGTTGGCTGAATACAATTAACAACAATGCCAATAATAATAATGTCACTTCAAACTTTCAAATAAACGCCACCTTCAAATAAGCGCCGCCCTCAAATAAGCACCGCATTTGAGGCGCTTAGTCGAGTAAAAACGATGTTTATTTATTTATTTATTAAGCCTTAATAAGAGAGAGGGACTTGCAGAGGGTAGTTTACCTCCAAAAGTGTCTTAACCACCTCTGTTTTTCCATAAAGAGCCGCTTCATGTAAACAGGTACCATTGCTTGTAACATGGTTGAGATCTGCATCAGCCTCTAACAACATTCTGCAAGGTAAACAGAAGCTTAGCATTGCCCTATTGGTCCTGTTAGAAAACAGAGCTTGAAAAAAGTCCCGTCTGTCTGGTAGTCTTGGACAAGTAGATTTTCTCGTTGGGCAAGTAACTTTTAAAGCTTTCTTGACTAAAAACATGATTACTGGGAATTAGCAAACCATTTAAAGTTGTGTATGTTACAGGTCAAAATTAAATCCAGGTTCAAAATTCTTAACCTAGGTTAATTCTCAATTTCCTTTTTCTCCTAGCCCTGATTTTTCATGAATTAGGGCTGGGAGACAAAGGAATTTGAAACCAGCCAAGGTTACACAATTTTAACCTGAATTTAATTTTGACATGTTAGATGTACAATGTAATATGAAGCTTTGATAGAACTATGGAAGATGACGTAATACAAAGAAACAACCCAAGCCTTACATTGACCATACCTTACTATTTCCACATGACCAGTCTTGGAGGCCAAGTGTAATGGGGGATCGTTTTTCGTTGGTTCACCACTTGCTAAAACACTGCGCACTTCTTTTGACTTGAGAAGCAGTTCAACAACCTACAAGAAACCAAATTATTTACCGCATTGAAAATTATCAAAAAATGATAGCCACATCACTAAACATAAATACCTACCAAACACTTGAAAAAAATAACATCCACTTGCCAGAAAAAACAGCTGACGTTTGGCAATGCTAACACTGGTTTTCCTGTGAAATGACATCTGAGGATTCCATACTGATGATGCCTTACTACCCCAATCCTAGGTACCAGTGACACATCATCACTATGGAATTTTTGCATTTCTCAGATGTCATTTTACAGGGAAACCATTGGTGGCAATGCAAAATGTCTTCTGTTTTCTCAGGCACAACATTCGCTCACCCCAAAACAATTTCTACAGGTAAAAACACCACTGCACTACACTTCATACACACCCCCTCCTTCCCCCTCAATCAAATTTGCTCCTCCAAGTTTTGAGCATGGCCTTCTATTGTTAGCAACTTTTAATGAAGGGAGGAGGGGGAAGGGGGAATGGAAAGCATGGACGTATTTCGCAACTTCTCTCTGGCAACTGTTTGTAGCTGTCAAATCAGCATGGGAATTAGCATGCACACAGGGATAAAGTCATAGAATCATGGTTGTCATTTATGGGGATAATGATTTTCATTGAAAAAAAATGTTTCCATGTATATTGTGAGCAATGGGAAAAGAAAACATTTATATTACATCTCCACAGAACAAGGGAGTGAAAGGGTCAAATCCCCTACCCCCTGTTTTCTTCTGATCACTTTTTAAGCAACCAGACTTGAGGAAAGCAGATAAATATGAGTTAGTAGTTATATGTAGCTCGATAACAGTTGACAAGATACGTACATGCACATGTCCAAATCTGCACGCAAGGTCCAAAGCAGATTCTCCACCTTTGTTGGTACTCCAAGAATTACAGCCTCTGTCTAACAGTACATCCACCTGTACAGGCAATAAATGAACCTTATCATCATCAACATCACGACAACAACTCTAAGTTATTACCTTGCTGATTTGTAGTTCAATAATGAAGGGATTCCTGGAAAAAAACCCATATAACTTTTGATAAACTCCCAGATAATTCTCCTTTCTGCCTTACACAATGTTTGTAACTCAATCCCACACACCCCTTACAATATCCTTTCCTTGGTCACATTTTCTTCGCTGATTTCATCCTCATCATCATACCAATAACAGGGCTTCTGATATTTTGCGTGGTCGCGGACCCACGAAATTCCCCCAAAATACGCGCAATATCGCGAAATCCGCCAGAAATATTTCCAAATACTTGTCGGCAAAACATATTTAATACTTATCTTGGCCATTAGACCTGTTTTATTCACCCCAAACGTCCAAATTTATCTTGAAACTTCGTCACTGCAACGAGTAAACAACGTCCCAAAACTACCAGGCGTTCTTAGAATAATGTTGCGAAAAACTGGGCACCAACCATAATGTTAATAGCTTTAGCATTCGCTCATTTCTCAAGCAAACTGTTGTTGAAAGAGCCAATGATTATCTCTGTTAAAAAAACAACGTTAAACAACGCTGGTCATATCGACGCAGAATTGATCGATTTTAGCGAAATTTGCCAAAAAAAAATCCTGCGAAATCGGCTGTTTTTTAGTGATTGTTTCTTGGCGAAGTTTCCCCCCGAAATTTCCGGTGAAATCGGCCGATTTTTCTAAGAATTTGCCCCTGAAAATCCTTCGAAATTTGACTTTTTTCCGCTAAAATCCAGCGAAATCGAATGATTTTCCGGTGAATTTTGACTTTTCTCCCACGAAAATCCCGCGAAATCGGCCGATTTTTCCGCGAATTTGCCCCTGATAATCCTGCAAAATTTTGCTTTTTCTTCCGCGAAATATCAGAAGCCCTGCAATAATAATATTTTACCAGGAAAATAAATTTAAACTAAGGATAAAATTTACCCAAAACAACTACACAGGTAAAGACTGGGATTTTGTTTACAAACCACATCAGAGTTGCCATGCTGACATGCTAAAATAAGAGGTGTGTCTCCATTATCTGAGCCTGCATTAATGTGAGCTCCAGTCTCCACAAGTAGACGCGCAACTTCAACATTTCCAGACCATGCTGCTAGATGCAATGGTGACATGCCTGATAAGTGAACAACAGAAAAATATGAGAATTACCCTCCCATGTAAACACTCCTAGGGCTTCGTCATGCATTCCTTCCCTACGATGGGCAGGATTGCGTGACAAGCTAAAGAATGTCTGTGTGGGAGGCTATATGAGAAGTGGATTGGAATCAAACTCATTGTCTAGGAAAATTATCAGGGAGGAGAAGTGGGTCTGATAAAATTCAGGCAACGCAGGATTGTATCCCCAGGGGCCCCACTCTCATATCATATTTTAATGACGGGGGGGGGGGGTCTGACAGGGTTTCATTTTTTATCCCAAAAAAAACCCAAACTTCAGAATTTCTCTCCCAAAAAAACCCCTCCTTTTTTTAGAATACCAAAAAAAACCCCTCAGTGTTTTTGCTTAAGCAAATTTTATTTTTTATCTTCTGGAAAGCTAAACAATCCCACCTTCAACTTTGTTTTTGGTAAAAAACAAAACTATACAAAAACAAATACAAAAAGCTTGCATGACCGTTATAGTGTCTCTTCATCCTATCTTCTGCGACAACTTTACAGGAAGATATTCATTATGACATCTACAGCATGTCTTGTCCTTAGCACATTCTTTGCTTGCTATTGTACCGAAACATCCCTATGTAACAGACCTTGTGGCATCAGACTTTTCACCATGTTTTTGTGCAACTGATGTCTCAAAAGGTGGACAGACAATTCCCACCAGGTACGGAACACATCCATACACACCAAATCATGTTTCACCAGGCGTGTTACATAGGAGTGTGGTGAAATATAGCAACTCGGGGCAACTCAACTCTATCAAATATAAGCCTTGAAAATTAATACACTGTTCATTAGAAATTCAAGCCAAACTGTATCCTTACAAACAGCATTGGAAAGTAAAAACCGGATCTATTAATCGTGATTAATGTGCGGTGTACACAACCGCTCGCCTAAGTCACCCTGTCCGAGTCCGGGAAAGTTGGACTCTTCGACCATCATCAGCCATGTATTGCGAAGTGTCACCATAATTGTCCAATGGGAAATATGCTTCTAGGTAAGTAGCATCGGCTAGTGAAGGCTGAAATTCTTCCCTCCTCCTAGTCAGAGAAACTGGACTGATGACATCAGAGATGCTGACTTCCTCTGTTACACTGGATCTTGCAAACACATGATCATGGAGCAGTTTGTAGGGCTTGACCAAAAGTTGTATGTTCTTTACACTGTCACGCTGGAGGTTGACTGGCTTGACATATTCTGTTCCCGTAATACCACACAAGCAGTAAATTGCGCTTATGTTATTGTTGATTTGAGCTGATGAAAAATACAATACCCAAAAAAATCCCGGCATCTTTCATAGACCCCAAAAAATCCCTTTTGGCCAAAATGTCAGACCCAAAAAAATCCTTCGGACCCCCCATCATTAAAATATGTGAGTGGGGCCCCTGGGATTGTATCCATGATAACCTTGCAAGAGAGAATAACCTCATAAGCAGCACACACTAGCAGGCTTCATCGCACAGCTTACTAGCTAAAAGGGAACTAGGGATTTAGGATTTTGATGTGACTTTCATTTCATCAGTTATTATGTTCACATTTCTAACCACTCAGTCTTGGTTCACATAGCTTACTGTACGCAATTTCCATGTAATTCTGTAATTCTGCTGTCACACTAAAGCTGAGTTCAGTGGCTTCTCAGGCAAACAGCCCCAAGGGAGGGGAGGGTGGAGATAATGAATTGAGTCCTAGATTTTCTGAGACAAATAATCAACAAGGGCTTTGATCACACTCTTTCAATGTCATCTTCACAGCAATCTCACTTTGCATGGAATGACAACATGCATGGACATGCCCAAAATAGCAACTCATAGTGCCTTACTTTCAAAGTCATTCGAGGAGGATTATATTGAGATTGGATGGACTTTCCTGGAACAGGAAAGTTGGCTTAAACTACATTAAGTAATCACATTTTTATCTTTTTAAATGTAAGTCTGTGCTGAGAAAAATGATGTCCTTCCTTCTTGGAGTTGCCCTGCCCTTGAAGTTTTTATAAATTGAAATGTGTTCAAAATTCCATCTTGGTCGGATACCACCAAAGAAAGGTTGAACTTTATATCAGGTAAAACAGAGGACATGTAACACTAATGTAAAAGAAAACTTTGCTACCCAATTCAGTGTTGTTAAGTGACTTTAATATCGTCCTAACACAAAGTAAGATTTAGATCTTTATTCTTTCTTTTTATGTAAAAAAAATTCTCCGGACATAACGTCTGAACACAGGTAGGATTTCATTGGACACTAGCAAATTTCAGTCAGCCAATGTCTGATGACCGACCATTATTCGCAGCCTTGTTTCAACTTAAATAAGCATGAATAAAAATAAATACCTTTGTGATCCCTAGCATTGATGTCACAATCCAAATCAATAAGCCCTAGGACAATTTCACTGTTGCCCATAAGCGATGCATGATGACAAGCCGTAAATCTGTCTCAAAACAAAGTTGCAAATTTTAGTGAGAAATAGTCTCCATGAATTGGTGAACATGGGAAAAAAAGGAAATCTGTCAGTAGTCATGCCTAGTTTGTATTCAGGAGTTTCATTAACAGGGTTCAAAATAAATGGCTGTCTTGTTGTCCAAGACATCCATAATTATACTGTGTGGCATGAAATTTTTGCGGGAGTTTTTCTCAACCAGCACTTGGTATCTGTACAGGTACAGGTACATGTAGTCTGTGATACACTATAGTGAGATCTCCTCTGTCATGCCAATGTAAATTGTTTGTTTCATGTTTGCTTCCTGAAGAACAATGGTAATTTACCTGCACTACATTGTTTTTAAAAAACCATTCTGTGGATTCTTTGTTTAAAAATCTTTATTAACATGAGCCTGTTCCATTACTTTAAACATGAGAAAGTGAAGGAGAGTGGAAATGACCAGTAAATGTCTGAAAAACTTTGATTATAGTGAGGGAGCCTTCCCAAAACTTGTTGGGGGGGGGACTGATGAGAAATTGGGGGGTCCTACAAAAAAATTGGAGGCAAAAGCGGGGTGTTTGAAAAATATAAACACTCTCAAGCGGGAGTACCGCATAGTTTTAAGTATGGAACCAAGCTTCCCATTGTGTATGCAAAATGACACTGATCTATTTAGTACCAGATTCAGTGTGCCATGGTTAAGTAAAACACTCTGCTTAGCTGAGACTGCAAGACCGGTTTCAGAACCAAAATGTTGGATCCTTCATCAGTTGCTTAGGTATACATGTAGCTGTTAAACACAAGCTCACCAAGAGAGCTAGTGCTGTAAACTAAAACTGTAGCTAGAGTCAGTTAAAGGGAATTGAAGGGAGTTTGCATATGATCACCTTCTACCTACAGAATCATGCTCCACCTGTAGCCAAGCATATCATTCTACACCGTAACTGAGCCAAAAAACTTTATACTGCTGATCATTTCCACTCCTTCTAAATCTAATCTATCTAAACACAGAAGCTGAGGACTCGTAGACTTTGTTAGAGCATTGACTGGCTGTATTACTGATGCCAGCAAAAGTAAGGAACTTTTCTTATTATCCATGATATACAAATTTACCAGGACAAGGAAGAAATTAGGACTGAGAGGTAGTTTGGGGGTGTCTCCAATTTTAGGGATACTAAAAGGGGGTCCCTGAAAATGTTTAATGCAGCAAGGAGGGGTCCTCCAAATTTTTTAGATAGTAGATAATTTCTCATCAGTCCCCCCCCCTCCCCCAACCCAACAAGTTTTTGTGAATGCTCCCTAAAAGCAGGGGGGCGAATGTGATAATTCAACCAGGCTGGGGAGAGATTTAAGTACACCAAGAAGATAAGCTGTGCTTACCCATCTTCATCTTGTATGTTCACATTGTACTTTTTGCCACCTTTTTCTACAAAATATAAAAAATTTACATGCATGATAATGACAATGATAATTATCATGATTATTACATTATTATAATATAATAACAATAATAATAATTATTATTTATTATTATGATTATGATTATTATTATTATTATTATTGTTATTGTTGTTGTTGTTTTTGAACAATGCACTTGACAAAAATAACTGGTATTCACTGCAGAATTCCAATGTTTTTTATCGGGCTTTGTTTTTTTTCTGCTATTTACAACTAATTAAATTAAAATAGCAACAAGGCAATTAGAGTTTTAAAAACCCCACCTCAACAGTCCTCATTCTATTTAAATTTTCGTCAACATTGCGGGAAGAAGTAAGAATGTTAACATGATAAAATAGCACTATATAAATCAAGAGCCTCAGTGGAGCACAGTGTCATTACATGTATAGCCGTCAAAAGGCTGTCATTATATCAACACCAGTATAAGTTGTGGATCCTCATTTGTTACAAATTTGTGCTCTCCAACAGCTCATATAATCAGATGATTTAATTGTTTTCCAGCATCAATAGCAGCATGCTGCCTGTGATATTGACGTTATTTATTGTTTCTTCTGTCACTTTAGCTACAGTCTAGATTCTCTATTACAAACTATATATGTTGTGGATTTACCCTTGGTTTAAATTTTATTTTCTTTGGTTCAAACAGATGACCATACATTACCATGCCAAAAAAAAGAAAAGAAATTTAAACTGAGGATACATGTAAAATTGAACAACAACATATATACACTGTGATGATGCTAGGTTTGACATTTTGCAGGTGCACCTGCCAGCATAACCAAGATGTTAGGATTAAAGTTGGGCCTGAGTTACAGGACCTGTATATAAGCTCTGTTTCAAGCACAGTTTTTGGTGCTTGATTCCAAACCAAGAGGCAGGCTGGTTCACAAGATAAAGTTTAGAATCAAAGCTAGACTGCAAAACAGTCCATACTATTGTGTAATCAAGTACTCATGAACAGTGTGAGGCCTGCATGGTTCACTCGTGTGAGACTCATATGGTAAGCCGATTTAGGGAAAAACCGACTACTTTTCAGTCTCAATTTTGCATCACATAAGTATTAAACCTGTTTTGATTTGTGTATCTCAAAATCCTTAGAATATGGCTAGCCTGAATTCTCACTCAGTTGAGTATCTGATGAGATTTTAAAACATGAATTTTGTTTAAAAAAATTGTGTCTGTTTTTGAAGGTTTTTACAATATACTTAATAGTAAAGAAACCAGAACAGCACACTGCAATATTGAGACTTAATACTTTAACGTATACTTTACATACAACATTCACAAGAAAGGCACGTTACTTTAATCCTCTTCAGTATTTCAATATGTCTCGTTAACGTCAAAACGATAAAGGAAAGAATTCAATTGAATGGGCACAACGGGTGTAAAGTGAATTTAAAAATCTTTTTGGTCTCGATAAAAAGGAAAATATCAGTTATACGGCAGACAATATCAAAGAAATTTAGAACTTGAAAGTTAGAGTGTTTAGTAAATAATTTAGGAAACTATCAAAAATAAACAAACATGTCCAAAGGATGGTAATGCCCCAATTGTAAACAATATTATGGATTTAATCACATTTTCTTGAGGAATAAAGGGAGAGAGAGATAACCTGACAATGCCCACGAGAGAATTTAGAGTGTTCTTATCTACAGCTGTATCCTTCATGATCACCATTACATCACCAACTCATTTCAAACCAAAACAATATAGAGTGAAATTTAATCAGAGCATAAAAGAGAATATTTTACACATACATTAGAAACCTGTATTTGTCATGCAAACTACAAATTATCCCCTCAAAATCTCTAAAATCTCTCAAAATAAAGTTGAACGCATGTAAATATTTCCGATCGACGCAATCAAAATAGATCCCAAATCTGATTTCATTTTGAATAAATATTTGTAAAATTCATTGGCGCCTTCTTTTATTGAGGTTAGCCATTAAAAAGGTTTCTTTCTGATTCTTTCACAAAACTAAATTTGAAAGACAAATTCAAAAAATAAAAGAGTACGCTGATCCATCAACACTTCGCAGACAAGCGAATTAACCTCTCCCCCGCTCTTGCGAAACAAAGCGATCGTTATATGCAGGACGCGAAAGACCAGGTTTAACATTTAAAACAACCCAAGAATTCATAAAACCTTCATTAAGAACCTCATTAAAATTGAATGGCCGGCTCTCGATAAAACAGCTTCATTTCACCTGTTTAAGAAAATTCAATCAGCAAAAGGTACTTAACATTTCATTTTGTCTTGTTTCAAAGTTCTTCTCCTCCAGTATTACTCACTTGTTTTAGAGGCTTTAAGTTTTGTTGCAAGCTTCCTGAACGCTGCAAGGTCGTTGGATTTTACCGCCTGAAGTAATTCCTGATCTTTAGCCATGACATGTAGCGTCTATCTGACTTTAGGTGTCACTAAACACTTCACAAGATCAGAGTGGAACAGCTGCATTTGATGGCCCGAGGCTCGACACGCTTTTCAGGATTCGTCAACTCATCATCAATTCAATGAAAAGCTGGCCATTTCCCAACTGAATGCCAAAACTTTTCCTCAGTTCATGACAAGAACAGCTGATAATAGGGGGGTATACCCGAGGAGTATAGGAATTTAAACCAGACAATCACATATGCTGTACTTGCAAAAGTAAATAGATATTCGAGAACTGAATCGATTTTACGACGTGATCACGATAAGTTTCCTCGGTTCGGCGAAATTGACGTCACACACGGTAACCGGATATAAGCATGGATAAGCACAGACAGTCCAGCCGCGTGGGAAATCTTTCGTTTTCTTCCTTTCATTTCTCTTGTTTTGTGTCATATTTTTTTAGACTTCCTGATGAAACTGAAGCTATTTAACTGAAGGAGAAGGGTGGGGAATAATCTTGTGGGTGATCACGGAAAAAATTAATAGAGTCAATCAATCAACTCTGTCTAAGACGGACACTTTTTCGTTTAAGAGAGATTACCGTCTCAAAGAGAGTCAAATAAATTAAGGGAGTAACTAAGGCCTAACTCTAGTTGTCCGTTAAGAGAGGACATAGAGAGTCGACTGTCTTTGTAGTTCCTTATCGAACCTTAGGATAATCTATTTTTGATACCAGAAAACCGAAAGCAAGCGACTTAGACTCATGGAAAAAGTCAGTTCCTTGAAATGCGGGATGTCCTACAAAACCCTGAAACCAAAATAAGAACGATGGCCGAACAAATTTACGTTCCAGCCTGTATCAAACATTTTCCCTTTCTCCTGATATTGTCTAATACTGAAACTATAGTTATTTGTTTTCATTTTGTTTATTTATCTCGCTGTCAATGTCATGAGCTTTCGTGTACTGACCTCCATTCTGTCCATTGCCAGATTTATAGCTTGCTAGGGGCAATTATATCAATCTAAGATTAAAGATTATTCATAAAGTTCCGATCAGAAATGGAACGGATAGTAGATGATAGTTGCGAGTAAATGACAGCTGGCAGGGGCACCCAACGAGAATATAGTTCAAAACCACTAAAACATAGCATTGTTAAACGTATTTTGGTATTTAAACGGTAGATATAGGCATATTTTTATCCCCTAAAGATGTTTCATCTGTTCGGATTTCCTAGCTGAAAGTCTAGTGACCCGAAAATTATAGGGATCAAAACTTACCTTTTCGAAAATTTCAGCCAGAAAAAAGGCTCCCGAAAATTCTAGGTGACCTTTTTAGAGTAAAAATCCGTTAAAAATAGGCAATTATACCATATTTTAGATGTTCGAAAATCCTAGGAGAAGCAGGCAAGCAAGAAATCTTACAACAAATGTTCCGAAAATTCTAGATCTCAAATCGTCTTCCGAACAGATATTTTTCCGAAAATTGTCGTTGGGTGCCCCTGAGCTGGTAGAAGTTACACCTTCCTCTTTCGCTCTTCGGTAAAAAATTTAGGGAGCTTAAGAAACCACCGACGAAGACGACAACGACAACGACAAAGGTTTTATGAGCAAAGCAACAGCTCTGCACGTGCATCACATCACGCTTTTTAGCACATTTCTTTGACGTCCATTGGACACCTACGACGTAAAACCATCTAATGCGGCGTTTTATACGACTACCGGAATTTTCCCTTCTCTTTTTAAACCTGGATAAAGTCCTTAAGAATTCAACTCCAGGAAAAATTGGGCGGGTAACATAGTTCAGATAGAAGCGATAATAGACTGCAAAACACTGAGTCCGTATTTTGCGTATTCAAGTACGCGCGAACGGTCAAACTAAAGGTCTGGAGACTCTTACGCTACTCTAACGCTACGCTAAACCGATTTTGCCAAAGAAAAAAAAAACGCTAGAGGGGAAGGAACAGGGCTACACACGAAGTGCAAAAAAAATGGATTTTTCTCTACGAGCACTTTAGACCACTCTACAGCGGGCTGATCATGGCATAAAAGTATGAAAATAATAGACAATTGAGCAAAAGCTTCCCTTTCAATTTCTCAATTCCCAGCTCAAATGTGTCTTTTGTTGATTGCTCTGCTGATCGCAGCTCAGTGACAGTTTAATTGTCTGCACTCATCAGCGCAAAGTTGTTTTGAGTGGAAAGGTTTGTCTAGGTTAAACTCACCTACCGCCACCTCTAATAACTGCAAAAAGAGGGCGTTTCCGATCGAGATAGTATTGCTCGGAAGCTGGGGCGAGAGCAAATTTCTCGACCACCGCTTGCTGCCCAGGCTATCATGCTCACAGCCATATCACTCGGGGTTTACTCTTGTTTACTGAGATAATCATCTGCATGACCCTAATACATGTAATAGGTCTGAGGATATTCCATCAAGTGGTTCTAGTATGCTGTTATCTCAAACGTAGGTTGACGACCATAATATCGAGTTGTATTGTATAACTGACTCTCACAGTTGGAACAACTTTATACTTAATAGTTATTCCAGACTTCCACAAACTCTCAATTCAGCTGAAACAAGACCTTAAGGCATTGTTGTTCTCACGATACCGTTAATAAAGTGTATGAATTACCTTTTCAAATTAAAAATGATATCAAAATAACAATGTTTCAATTTAAGGTAGTAGAAAATATGCTAGCAACTAAAGCAAGCCTTTTCAGAACCGAAATTTGTGACTATAACGTATGCCCTCAATGTCTAAACACACTCCTTAGGTCACATGTTCTTTCGCTGTTCCTTCGTAGTTGCCTTTTGGAGGACATTTCAAATTTGGTGGACCAATATAACTGGGCAACTGTGTCCCTGACATAATCAGACAGTATAATTATGTGTGGGGTTTCTATGCAGTAAAACCCCACACATATAAGAATCTAGAATTTTCGAGGTCAGGCTGAACAGGTTTTAATATTTTAGGGTAGTTTGTCACAATTCAAGCTGATTAGGTTCTTAAAAGGTTCTTATTTTTCAGCTAGAGGTTGTCATAGTGTAACCGTTGGCAGAAATATTGTACTACTAAAACAAAATGGCAAACATTAATACATTTCTATATTTTTTAAATAAGACATTAAAATTTGGTAGCTTTATGGAAAACATACTTCTAGTAAAAATCCAAACAAACGTGAGTCAAAGAAAACATATACACAAAAACCTTTTTTCACAAGTTTCTCACACAATGAAAATCCAGAATTTTGACCATCAAAATTGGAGTGATTTTTTTTGTATAAGAACCTCTTTTTCTTTGCCAGGCTAAACAGGTTTTTATATTTTTTGGGGTATTTAAATGCCAAATTTCAGCCTGTAGGTTCTTATATATGCGGGGTTTTTACTGTAATAAACAACACAGATGTTCACTAAATTACGCACTTCTAATTGCAAAATTTTCAATATGCTGCAGCCGCCTTCACATCGAAATGATCTCTTTTCAGTCTTTTGATAGTTTTCTCATACTTCTTCGTGAAAAGCTGAGCATTCAGAAAGTATGACCTTTGAAAGATGCCTTTCAACATCTCCTTTAGTATACATTTGCACCTTGTGTATAAGTTTTCTTGTTGTTGCTGTAGTTTTTTTTATTGTTCTAGTATTATTACCACTAAATGTTTTTAGTACTATATTTTCTTCTTTCTTCTATTTTTTAAATAAATTATGCGGTAGATAGTAAATAATGTTACATGATAATTTCCGTAAATTTGTCATTTACTTGTATTGTTTTGTGTTTTTTTTTTGTTATAATAAATAAATAAAACCGTTTAATAGATAAAGTTCAGAGTCTGGAAAATAAAAGGCGGTAAATATGCAAAGACCCTCGCCAAGATTCAGGTTAGAAAAATATTTAGTTTACGAGATATATGGAGAACTGTTTTAACAGATTTGTATGTTTTCAGCTGCTCTATTAAATACATTATTAAAGTAAAATCTCAGTAGGATCGATAGTTTTGTAATTTGACTTTTAGTGACGTCATGGGAAAACCAGCAATTACAACGAGCATGTCTCCTTTCAGAAAAAAAAAAAGAAAAAGACTCTCCTCAATTCGAGCCTACGGCCATGGGTCTGGGTGATGCTCGGTTTCTCTTATGTGTTGGTCAAATAAGAATAAGTGATCTTGTATGCTCGCTACAAAGTGCGACGATTATTACAAAGTGCGACAGAACAGCTTTTTAATTTCTTAGTTTCAATCCAGCCACTGGAGCGAAAATCAGACTGAAAGAACCTATTTTGTCTCGAGGTTATCTTTTCCATTAGTAATATTACCTGAGGGTGTTAATCTCTAAAGTAAACCATACAGGCATTGACTGACAAAAAGGTTAGTATAATTGCCATTTTGGTTAGGGAATGGTTGGATATTTAGGCTGTCACGTCTGAATTTGGCTATGCTCCTTTAACGGGGAGTCACAGAATTGTATAGCCCCATGTAGTCGTTTTTTGGTGGGTCGTATAACAGACTCCCCCAACAAAACGACCCGTGGGAAGCTAACAATCGTAGAACCTGATTAGCTTTCAGATCAACGTTTCTTGGGGACGGAGGATTTTTAATTTCACGAAGAAGAGATATCATTACAAATGATCATGGAATGTGATTAACTGCTGCTGACAAAGGGATCAAAATCCTGATGGGTTGTCGAGGTTGTCAAAAAAATCCTCCCTCGGTTACCACTGATGGTCGACTTTCAATCGATCGTTTTCGTTTATTTCACCGTAGATTACTATAGCAGTCAGCAAACTTCATTTCGTATTTTCGATGTTTAATGATTGAGGTAAAAAGTATGAGTAATTGTTGAAGCAGAATAAATATTTACAGAGTTTTATTTTTGGTGAGCAATTTGGTGTGGATCGTTGACTGACTAAAGAAAACATAATAGAGCCTGTTATTGGCAACTGTATCACCGGACAATTCAAGTTATGTACACAGAGTATTAAATGCGGAAATGTGCAGCTTAAAGTCTTCAGTCTTGTAGGCGCCTAAAAACAAACCTGCCAACAGCACTGTGAATAAATTACACCTGAATGCGTGTAGTGTTCATAGAGTTGTTAGGTACGCGTATACTATCCTTTAGGGAACACATATTAGTATCGCCGAGGTGCTTTCTTCGAAATAGGGTAGGTACTACTGCATAATTTGTAAGCGACCAAGACGTTGTATTTTATCTATTGATCTATACTACTTTTAGTAAGTACTTTATTTTCTTAAAACTGTGCGAAACTTAAATCACAGTTCTACGCACATGAGAACCTGTAGAATTGGTGGGCGTCTTGGTTGGTTTTGTAGCTCCTACAAGTTGTTCCTCAGTTTTAAAACTTCAAATGTGGACTCCATTGAGCTAAATCCGTCTATCGATCACAGAGTTAAGAAAATGAATTGTATCTGAGCCCTGCAGACATGTGCAGATTCATTTTCTTGTAATCGCGGTGTTTGTCATCTCAGTGAACGCCCATTATTTCCTTGTATTGCTGTTCTCTGAGATGGCGGTGAATCATGTATTTGCCCTGATAATGTACTACTCCCGGGATCGCTGTCGGAGCCTCATCTGTCGGTAAGGCTTAAAAAAAAAAACTGATGTGGGAAATGAGTCGAATTTCGTAGTTTGACAGATCAGAAAAGCACATTGTTGTTAACAAGGGTCTAACGTTTATATTCAGAGGGATATCACAGGGACATGGCTCAATGATATAGCACCTCATCATGTAACTTATCATGGTATAAGACTGATCATTTTCAAAGTATTCAGACCTGTTCAGGACGTGACACCGTGAAATAACATGGGTGAAATTGTGAGTAGGTCAATATTGGGGCTTATCAGATGGCATTACTGATCATTACTTTATTGACGGAATTTTAATTGTTTCTGGATTGAGACAATGATTAGTGACATTAACTGCGGTTGGTTAACAGGGCCTCAACCCTAAAAAAAACTAAGACTATTCCTCTTCTTTTATTTGTCATGTAAGGCGACAAGATTTTCAGCTTCGTGGGATGAAATTGGACTATAAGTACACTTCAGTCATTCTATATAAAGATGACTCTGTATAGAAGTGCGATATGCAGACAATTATTGGATGATGCTTTCTCTAGATATCATAAAAATAAAAAAATTAATTTAAGTGTTATCAGCTCGAAGAGGAAGCCCTGTGCTGATAACAGTTAACAATTATTCCATGAATCGGCGTTGGGTACAAGGTCATTGTTAAATACCCAACGCAAAGAGGAGCGAAGCGCAGAGATGTCTATAACCCGAACTTCGTGTAGACAAAAAAGGCGAATGGAAGGATTGTTTTATTAAATTCTCAACCTTCGCTTACGCCCAATTTTTATCTAACTTACCAAGGCCTAGGTGGATAACAGCGCCGAGATCTGCATAAATCAACACACTATACAAAATATTCTAAGTTCTTAACACGCTTACCTCCTCGTACACTTACTTCAAACGTTTGGCCTATTTTTCTGCAGGGTTGCAACTGTTTTTTCTTGCAGATACTCCTCAAAAAGAAGATTGCGTCCATCGAGCAATATGTTTTGCGAAGAATTCTTGCATTTCTTTCGTTTAGTTTTAGTCCCTTCAGCTATTTCGTCTTCGGGTAGCCATGAACACCATTTTTTTAAGTTCACTGTTCCTCAAGCAGGCTCGTTTCCAGGAGTATACCATCGATCAGCTTCGTTTCCTAAAGCAAAAGACCACACTTTCTATGGGTTTACCGGCAGTTTACCGGCACAATAAACTATAGGTTTTTAACCAATCAGAACGCGCGTACTATCTTAGTTATTTCATAAAATCGAATATACCATCAAATCGATGGTACATTGCTTGCATCTTCCAAATATGGTAAGCGACAGTTGGTTATGAAGAATTAGCAGGGAGATTGAAGCCAATCAGAAAAGGCATTTAAACCCTGATCGGAGACGCATTATTCGAGGTTGAGACTATAAAAAATTGTTAAATATTCACGCTACGTTCGAGACTCAAAAAGACCGAAATAACGAAACTGTTTTATCTTCTGGCTATCTGGGCCATGCAGGTCCTCTGTATCACTACAACTTTGACAAGTGGCGATAGGACAGTCAGCCACGGTGGAGCCAGCTTCTCAACAAGATGGACATTCCAACACGGTCAAATGTTTGAGGCGTTTTTTGCTGTTTTATTTATTGAGATTTCATTTTCCATGAAGTGGGATCATGGACAGGGGCCGTATAAACAGCTTTCATTGCATTTTTGTCAAAATAATGAGCTTCATGGTAAAATTACGCTGATAACTGTGGCGCTGAAAGTAACACCAGTTTCATTTACCAAACACTTGAATGTTTCTATGAAATCTTCGAAAAGTTTGTAAGTTAACAGCATGTTATTAGTAATATTTTTAATTCTAAGACGTTGTCTCTGACCACCTCAGTTTCTTTCCATTTTCCTTCTTTTAATTTTCTTATGCTTTCCTTGTTTTTTTGTCCTTTTTTGGTATTATTTTGTTTTACTAAACGCAGAATCTAAAATCTTTTTTTTTTTTTCTAACACTCCAGATTCGCATGATTTAGGGGTCGGAAAGGTCTGATCTCTGTCAGCTGGCCGCAAAATAGAACTGCAGAGCGAGCCTAGTTTTCACATAGATTTTCAAGTCAGTGAAATGACGTAAAGAACCATTCAGATGGACTGCGGCTTGTTCGAGATTGCATTTTAACATCGATTTATCCAAAAAAAAAAACAATAAAAGTTAACTAGAGAATGAAATTAACTTTTTGTAGGAGCCACTTAGCTACTTGATATTCCAAAGTGGTGGCCAATTCCACAAAAAAAAGAAACGAAAACAAAAACAGACAACTTAAGAGATAATAAGATGGCGTTCACCGACAAATTTGGTGGTGAATTATGTGCCAATTTTACTATACCTATCACCGCGACAGACATTGAGTTGTATTTTCATGCCCTGTTAACAAGCGATTACATGAGCTCCAGGAGCTCATTTGCCAAATTCTTTCTAAGCCCGAGCTTAATCAATCTCGACCCCAGTGCCTACCCTTCTGGTGAGCTCTGGGGTCGAGATTGGGGCTTAATGGCTTAAAGCCAGCTACTCGCCTGCGGGATGTTGTATTAGGAAAGAAAACGGTATTCGGGATAGAGCTGACAGGAGTTCGGGATGCGGGATTGTCGTGAAAAAAGAGCGGGATTACGGGATCAGGATCTTACTTCCAGACCCCATTTTTCAGCAAGTGCATTAGAACCTCTTTTTTCTCGATCATGTCTTTTCCTCAGTGGGTATTACAGTCGTCCCAAGAGAAATCGAAGACAATGGTTATGCAAAAATTTTGGGGGGGTAAATAAGGTGCATTATGGTCTACGCGAAAATGGTGAACGCCTGAGAAAAATCTCACAGAATCAGTTCTGTTTCAGTGAAAACGTTAAGTGCCCGATATAAGTAAAGGAAGTAATTTCCGTTGAGTAAGCATACAAAAAACATTCTTAGGACATTTCTTTTCTCACTTTTACAATCTTACGTGTTATCTTAAGAAAAAAAGGGGAGAAGGCTTTGTCCTATCAGCACTTTTAACGTTGAAACCGGCTTACATCAGGATCCCATCACGAATTCAAGTGATTAGCGATTAGCTTAAGTGAGGATATTTTCCTTCTAACAAAAAATCTACTCTCAGCGCCTCATAGAATGATCAACTGTAACGCTTTAAAAAACAAAATTCAGCATAAGTTTTGAAAACGGACAGATACACCGCCGTAATTGACACGGCAAAAGTAGTACCATACTAGGCAAATCAAATGTTATTCAGTCAAGATGTTTTCAAATGCTGCGTCAAGGAATCAAGGGTATGCAGTAGAGCCTAGCCTCCCCGCAGACGTCCTTTGGGGTTCGTTTGTGGGAGAAGTGAATGCGTGACAAACGAACCACAAAGGACGTCTGCGGGGAGGCTAAGTAGAGCCCCGATAACTCGAACTCGGATAACTCTAATTCCTTTACCTAAATCAAAATTTCACTGAAATTTACCCCGATAACTCGAATTTCAGCAAACTCGAACTGTTTTTCGTTTCCTTTCAGAGTTCGAGTTACCGGGGTTCCACTGCCAGTTAGGAACCCAGGTGGTTACCATGGCATCTGTATAATCGTTAAAGTGAGTTTGATTGTTCCTCGAATGCTTCGACCTGACTCAGTTCCCTGCTAAGACCTTGACCTGTATACCAAGAATAAAGCTATGCTATCTTTAAAAAGGGGGGAGCTACTTGGTTTTATCAACCGAGAGGATCAGATCAAAGTCAGCTTACCACTGATTAAAAAAGATTGGATTGAAAATCTGACTCTTCGAACACCAGCTCTTTGTAACAACCAATCGTTGAAAGCTCTCGATTACGGCTGGGAGTCTGTAGATCATTTTTACTGGATGAAATTTTGCACCGACTGCATCATTTTTGTACATGGCTATTAAACAACCCACACGATTAGCTTATCGCTTCAACACTTAGAGAAAGCAATTATAAGTTCATTTCAACTGTGTGCACAATCCGGAAATCAAACATTTGATCGAGTAAAGGCTCGGGATCGAAAAGTACACACCAAGTTTACTAATTGGACACACAGGTATATAAAATAAATCAGCCAAACTGTAATCGAAAAAGGCGCTTTTTAAGCGTTTTTCGTCATGTTACGTCGGTTATCGTTGTGGGCCATTGCGAAGTTAAGGATTAAATGTAATTGTTTTAATTGTTTTTTAAAAGACCACTTTGAGCGGCAAAGCGTTCATTGATACTAGCACTTGATTTCCGTTTTGTCTGCACGAGAGAGTGATCTCTTAATAGCGGTATCTTTGTACATGTTAAGTTAAAAGAGAGTACTCGTTGCTAGACTCTTGTTAAGTCAATCCTTTATCGCGTATTTGTTAAGACCATTACCACACATCCGCTTGGTCAATTATGCTTAAAAAGAACCAAAGGAAATTAATTAAACCAAAAACGGAAGCCGGGCGAATTTGAAAGGCAACAAAAGCGAAGGCTTAGTTCTTATAAAGTGTCAAAACTACCTGAAATTTGAGATTATTCTAAAGAAACTATGATAAAGCCACAATCTCAGTTTGCTGAGATTACGTCTTGAGTAAATCCTGATGGACGTACAAGTTCGGCTTTCAAACATTTTTAAGCCTCACAGCGGATCAAGCTGTTTTGACATTTGCATTTTCCATATTGTGTCGGAAAAATGGAATGCACTTAGATTGTTCTTTGTTTTTTTTTGGACAGCGTGACAATAAAACGCCTGTCAGTTTGAACAATATGATCTGTACATTCGCTGACACTTTCCTGAAAAACCCCTAACCTCATCTGTTTTTGCACAGCGCGGCGACAGAGATTTCAGATCACAAAACATTTTAAACTTTTCTAATTCGAGCGCTCATTTCAGAATTACAAGGCAGGGACTGGAACATGAGGGAAGCGTGAAAGCCGGCCACATGTCTTTACGACGAGAAAATACGGCACCTCCGCGGTTCTACGGAACTTCACTGGCTAAGCGTCAGCCAAGAGCCAGCTTCACGCCACCACAGCAAACAGCTCACCAAGTCATTCGTCGTGGAAGTTTAGGGGTGATACAGTCAAACTCTGCAGAGAAAAAGCTGCTTTTCAGCAAAAGAAGCAATAGTCTTGGTGGTGCAAACGATGATTACAGCCCAACCAAACTAGACTTTCAGTCTTTGAAGAAACGGCCTAGTCTTTTGGGAACAGGCAAGTTAAAATCCGGGAACAAAGAGACGGAAGCTATTTCTAACAGAGCCGAGAAACATTCTATGGTAATCCTGGGAGCAGGAGGCGTGGGCAAAACAGGTAAACACTCCAACCTTGAATTAAGCCTTAAATCCTTGCAAACCTTCAAACGAAAACACATCTGTATTTTAAGCACAATTTGGAGTTACATTCATCGTCAGAGGGGCATCGTCAGATAGCATCACTTTTGAATGTGTAGTTTTCCAGTAAGGTACAAACTACAATCAGTGAGGCGAAACTCATTTTTTTATTGAGCAAGAAAAGGATTATTAAACCTGTCAACTGTCAACTGATTCATATTCCACTATTAAGTAACCCGCCTAAGTCGGTGAACAGAACTTCAGCTACACGCTTCGATCATACGCACTTTCAGCGGACTCAAAAGGCCAAAATCACAAAACCAGTAACTACGGCGCGCCGGGATTCTTTCTGCACCAATCACCGATCTCAGCTTCTTTCATGATATAATTGGATTATTTATTGCTCGCACGATTCCGTTATCACACAACTCGATTTTCATACACCCTACTTGAAAGAGAGAATTTCAAACACGAATCCTTGATGAGACGATAACAGCAGATTATATTAGATAGTATCTAATCTGACCAACGGGCTCCAAATTCATAAATCAGTGGACAGGGTACTTGTTCTCCACACAAAGAAAGATTTTACAAATGTGAGGCGAGTCTGAATCATGATAAATTAATTGGATTATTTCCTAGTTTTGGTAAGTTGATTTCCTCCGATAAAAAATTCCCCCTCTATTTTTTATATATATTTTGTATTCTTCTTTTCTTGGCATATGTCAGCCTCAATAATTTTCTCTCTAGTGTTTTTTGATTTCAGAATGTTTTGGTGTCAGATTTGTTAGAGCTTTCATATTGCTCCTTGTTTGCTTAGCGATTAGTTTGATTGACACTTTCCTTTTCGCTTTGCTTCACAGCCTTGGTGGTTCGGTTCGTGACTGGTCGTTTTCTCAATGAATACGATCCAACCCTCGGTAAGCGAATGAATTAAATGTAGTCCATCTCAGCAGGGTGGAAATCAATCTACATCGGCGATCTTTTCTCTGACTCAAACACAAAACCCGAGATAAGCTGGCGGAGAGTGATGTAAACTCCGCTAAGTTTATAAACAAAACACTGATCGACCGATAATTTCTTTTAGCAGCTCATTTACACTTTTACTCGCGTGAGCAGATTATAAAGTATTCCCACGGTTAATCCTAGTCTCTCCTGGACTAAGTTGATAACTATGATGATCATGAGGTGATTCGTCATTCTAACTTTTGAATCTGTGAAAGAAACCTTATGGTGTTACTTAGGTTTGAAAGTGATCAGGGCGCAAGAAAGAACGGGGCGCGCGAGGGAGACACGTCGCCCACGTGAATGATCACCCCACGCGAGTAAAGGCTCACGAGTTTCTGTCGCTTCATTGCCCTTGAGGAAAACTGAGAGATTCCTGAACTAACTAGCGGTGTTCATGTCGTTAGTTCTCTGAATGGAGCATCAAGGAGGAATTGATACTAATCATCTCCGTCACTTGAAATCCGAAGTTCCCCCCTCCTCCCCCTCGGGATTTTTTACGACTATGCTGATCTTTAGTTAGTATAAGAAACAATAGAACAAAGAACGTAAGAAATCAAGGTTGATCTCATAAGACGTAATGTGTAAACATTGCCCAATTAGGAAATAGTGGAGAAGTGCTCCTAATAGGCGGCAAAATCTCCGTTTAATCTACAAGTGGTTTACGCTAGCCTTGAAATTACAGTTTTAAGTTACGATATTTGATAATTGCAGTAATCTACGTCTAAGGTACCGCAGCAAACAAGCACCGCCTTAAAATTTGAAAGCAGCGATCTTGCAGAACGACTTTTTTGCCGAAATGTATTTATCAACATTGCCTTCACAGATCACTTAATCATGACACCAGGACAATTACAAGGCCTTTCAGTTGATGAATAGCTATACTTTTATTTCACTTTGCAGAGATGGTGTACGAAAAGGATGTACCCATTGGAGAGAGCATTGTGTCACTGGATATTCTAGATACAGCCGGCAATGTAAGTAGCTGGCCGCTTTCTCTTTGATCCTGTGATTGAATACATTGATTACGTTTTAAAATGTTTTCTCTTCAAGTGCGAACAAGAAAAATAAACAGGGAATTTTACCGACCAAGAGCCTAGCCAGATAATTTCGAGATAATTCGGGCGGCGGTGTGCAAGTTCGTGGCTCTATTCATTATTCGGCTCTTTTTGCTTGTTTGTTTTTTCTCTTTCAAGTATTTTGTTTTGCATTTTGGTTGTTTTTTCTTTGTAATCTTCAGGATCTGGAAGTTTTTTCATCTCCTTGATTTTTCTTTACTTTCGATGAAATGGATTAAAGCTAATTGTTTCTTGTTAAAAGCCGGTTAATTTGTTTAAGTACCTTGGAAAGATTCAGGGAAATGACAGTATTTCCCAAATAGCGTTCCGAAAGATGTGAAATTCAGCCGCGTTTTGTTGTCTTCATTTTCAACTCATTTAAATGTGACTACCGCATAGGTTGTCGAAACGTCAGTCACCGTCAGCAACAGTCCTATTTAGGACTACATTTACCAGAACGATCATATTCCAGTCTGATCTGAAACCAAGATAGCCGCCTATCACTTGAAACGTTTGATTTCATCGATCTTACGAAAAATAGGAAAGTCAGTTAGTTGAAGTCACTAACAATCTCACTGAAGGAAACTCGGCGGGTTGGGGAGGGGAGGGGGGTACTACTCCCATATATGGGCTACACATTGTCTAGTTCCTAGGCCTCATTATTGTGCGCGGCTGGCGCGTTTCAAGTCACGTGGTCCGAGCGAGCCGATCGTCTCGGTGCATTGACCGAGAAGGCCTGAGAAGACGTCGTACAGGCACTAGGCAAGGCTAGACAGGTATGTGCTGCCCTATAGGGTATGGTTTTGGAGGGTCTCGATCCTTAAATAGGGTATCAATTTTGCCCTCGTTTGCATTCCGTTCCTGGTGTGATCCTTAGATGGTGTACCTAAATTAGTGAGATTCAAGTGCGTTGATGCCCAGCCAGATGAGAAACAAAGCATCTGTTAAAATTGACCTATTCCTTACAGTATTAGGAGAGCGATTTATTGAAGGTTTGTGTGTTACCATTAAATTTTTGTATTTCCCTTGAATCTGGGTGTCAATTTTCGGCTTTTGGCCTTGCCATTTTTCTTTTGTCTCTTTCTTAAATACAGTCAGGGTTTAAGACCGTGGGCCGCACACACCTATCCGAAAAATTAATGGGAGTACCCCCCGCCCCCGGGGACAACAAACGTTCAAGTGTGTTAGTGTAGAGAGATGGCTTTACACTGAACTGACGTTGTTTTTCTTTATCACACAGGCTGAAGCGTCGTACATACGAAATGGTGAGGGATTTATTGTCGTGTACTCAATTAACGATCATTACAGCTTTGAAGTGGCAAGGCAAATGGTCAAACTCATCAAAGAGGTCCGAAAATCAGACAGCGAATGCCAGGTGCCTGTGATACTTGTGGGAAACAAGCGAGATTTACGTCGAGGTAGACAGGTCAGTAAAGAGGAGGCCAGGGAGACTGCCAGTGAATTCTGTTGCTCGCATTATGAGACATCAGCCCTTACCAATAGGAACGTTCAAATGGTGTTCTTTAACATGGTGTTCCAGGTCAGATTCACGAAAAAAACTCGACTAAAAAGCCAGGGATCTTCTGGTACCAATGGATTTCTCAGCACAGTTCGTCAGTTGTTCAGCCCGCAGCGGAGAAGCAGTTTGCCAAGCTCCTGATGGGATTGGCGGTTTTCAGCTCTTTGGAGAGTCAGCATTCGGAAATTATCCACAGACCCTTTGGTTGGAGTCCAGTTCCTTTACTCCCTTCCTGGGCGATTCGACGTGAAGACAGTTAGTCAGAATCTACCGGAAGCAAGAGGGCTCACGCGACGGGACAAATGGGTATGGTAATTGACAAAGAGGTTAAGTCTACAACTTGCTAAAACTGAGAGGCGGTTCTTCAATTAAATGAATATCAGAACTGCATGCGAAACATTGCAATATTTGGACACGAAAGCTTAAGCAAAAAACCCATTCATGTAAAGCAATTACAAGTGAGAATGGAAACAGGAGGACTCTGTGCAGCCTGTGGGACGGGATAGACGAAGAATACGTGGGAACGCGTTTCGCTGGCTTTTTTTTATGATATTATTGTTGTTGTTGCCACCGCCATATTCCTGACCAGATGGCCTGTTCACAGCTTTATATTGCTGTGCAGATATTCAAGGTTGCGTCAAAACGCGCAGTTTTATTTCCAGGCAGACAGATCTTCGTAAGCACATAGCTCCGGTTGCTCAAACGTTGGATAACGCTACCCACAGGATAATCACTATCCAGCAGATAAGTGTTAGGGAAACCAATAGACCTTTTTACCGATACGGCGGCCATATTGAATTAATTAGATTTAAGGAGTATAATGGGATGTCCAGGGGGGCATTAGCGCGATCCGATATACTCGTTCAGCATTTACGCGCGCTTTTCGGGGCAATTTTTCTCTAAGTTTTCCGAGAAAAAGCTTCTAATGGGAAAAAAAGATCGTTGTGCTGTGTTTGAATGTACTACTGATCGCCTTTTTCCCGAGAAACATATAGTGAGGTTCTCTTTTTGCCCGAAAAGCGCGCATAAATACTGAGCGAGTGCCCCCTGGGCAGCCCATAATACTCCTTAAATCTAATAAATTCAATATGGCCGCCGTATCGATGAAAAGGTCTATTGCGTTATTCACTGGGTAGATTTTTATCCGGTGGATAGCGCTATCCACCTTTTGAACAACCGGGGCCTGATATGTACATGTAGTTGAAATGCTTCAACTTCCTGATTCAGAGTATCAGTCTAGGGTTATTTTTACCATAAAGCGTGAGTCCTATGTAGTCCTACAGGCAAGCTTTCTATTCAAGGGTGGAAGGCTAGACATGCGAGCAGTTAGTGTTTCGTAGAGTCATAGAATTTTAGAAGAGATGAAAAACTAATGGATTGAGGAAAACAGTACAATTAAGCAAAGCGACTTTACGAGTTTATTTATTTGAGAATTATCCTTGTTACGAAAACAAAATGAACTTAAGAAGATGGTGATAAACTGAAGGGTAAAAGTAAATTTAGCTCTACATTTAACTCGTAGAAATGTACAGCAGATAGTTACACTAATAAAATCTACGCTAACTTATTTTATTCTAAGCCACGAAGAAAAAAGACAAATAGATAGAAGGCAAGAAAGCCAATTAGTATTCTACAGGGTGCTGATTGTCTCCTACGCGAACCCAGCCGTTTTTTGCGTCCTCATGCAACGTTCCTCCCCACAACAAAAAGCCAGTAGGGGCGTTGCTTGACGACCCAAAAACGGCCTCGTGGAAGACAATGGTCTTGAGGGTAAAGGAACGTTCCAAATGGGGTATTGCATTTAATATCCGCAACCTCCCCCCCCCCCCCCCCCCCCCCGCCCCACCACCCCCCGACCCACTACCGCGCCTCCCCCAATCCTCTCGACGTAACAGTATTGTTCCACCAACGCCAATCCGCCTTTTTTTGTTGCTCAGTAGAATTGCCCCCCCCACAAAAAAAGTGCGGTGGGGGGGTGTTGTGCGGCCCAAAAACGGCCGCGGGGGAAACAAATGGTTTGGGGGGAAAAGAAAGCTCCCAATTGGGGTTTTTATTTAAAATCCCCACCCCCCCCCCCCCCCCCCCCGCCCCAGTTGAGAAGCAATGAAATTCTTCAGTGGTAGACCCATGTTCTTCAGGGGTAGACCCATATTCTTCACAGGTAAACTTATATTCTTCGGGGGGAAGACCCATATTTTGTGGAAGTTTTCAGGCGTGAATGCAATTTTATTTAATCTTCAGAGGTAAGAAGAAAAGGTTAGGGTAAGTCCTCAACCGGGGGGTACTGACATTAAGTGCACTGAGCCTAATCAACCTTCGCAGGTTGATTTGGAAAACGGTGCGTACCTTTGATACAATCCTAACTAGGCCCCTTATATGGCGTCGCTTCCGGGAATTGAATTTCGGCGACAATGTTAGAAGGGGCATGCCCTTACCACTACGCCACCCTTGCACCCCGAATTAAAATTCTTTTACGCGTTCACACTCGTACTTAGACTGAGTGGCAAGCGCTTCTAGCCTGCATAAAAGGCATCGAAAGGGATAGGGTATTGGGAGAAAGAGAAAAAGGGAGGGGAATGGGGGGGGTGTCCCTTCCGCGCTTTTCTCCCCTTCCTCTCCCTCCCCTTTTACACGCTTGTCAAGAAGGCCAGACACTTAAGAAATATGAGGCCCGAGGAAAGCGATGCACGCGAGAAAGGAGAACACGTTTTTAGTCTTCGCGAGGGCCAGGACCAGAATCATTAGAGACCTTAAGACTGAGGTTTTTCGGAATTTTTCAGGGCCTTGTCGTCAGTTTTGCGGTTTGAGGTTCACGTTTGTACGGCTAGACCACGCTCCAGAGGTAAGTGATTTACCTCAAGGTTTTTTTGCATCCTAAAAAATCACAATTCCACGTTTGAGAAGTAAAACAACTTTTTAGAACTCTTTTGCTTATTAGCCTGCGAACGACAAACGTTTCCCCTTGCTCATCGCTGCTGAGGGATTGATTATCGAATTCTGTTTCAAAAAAACGTAACTTTGAAGACAATTTCTCCCCGCGAATCTGAAGTCCCAGATATGGGCAGACGGGTAACCTGAAACCGTTAATTAACCACGTGTCCAATGAAGCGGTACATTCCGGTTGCACAGACCAGACCCAAGCCACCGCGCGTTTGGTTACTGTTCTTGAAAAGGAGTAGATGTAGATCAGTGCTGGGGACAACACTTTTGCCAAATGAAAAGGGACATTTCGGTCAAAGAGCCACCTTCAAAGCTCGTCCCGAATATTCCGGTCGGACCAAACCGAAATGGTCCGTTTCATTTGTGGTACCAACCGAAATTTCCGGAATTTTGGGTTGAATGGAAAGCGCCAAGGTCTCTATTTACAGAGATTCACGTTTACTACAAACATCAATTTGTACCACGTGATTAAGTTTTCCCGGCTCTACTTGTCGTTTACTGTTTATTACTTCCACATGAAAAATAAGTAGTTTAACTCCAGTTTCTTTCCATAAGAATTAGTTTTCACAGTTTATATCTGCTCAGTCCTATTTTGAGGAATTGTAAAATTGAATTTGACGTTTGCTGTTTGCTGTTAACGTGATTCCAAATCTCTTCATTATTTGCGTTGCGCCCTAATTTGCCTATAACACGCGCTATCTCACAGTCGTCATCCAGCAAAAAGTTCTCATTAAGACCTACTAAAACGCTGCCTAGTTTTGCATTGTATAAACTGAATTTTTCGTTAAATTTCTATGCTCAAATGATGGCAGGTGGGAGGGCGATGGAAAAGAAAGAAGATTGTGTTGTTGATTCGTCTTTTAATCTTTCAAGATTTTAAACAATCTTGAAAGATGACAAGGTCACTAGGTCCACGTTTCTGTTAATCCTCGTCCATCTTTTTTTAGTCTTGCCGGTCTTATCGATCTGGTCCTAGAGAAAAACACTGGAAATCAGTTTTTAGTAATACAGATTCCTAGAAAAATTTCTCATTTGTAATGTGAAGCACTGTAAGCTTGTTTCTTTATTTTGCAACTCTGTACACATTTCCTCGTAAAAGGGTTTCTTTTGTCTAAAATTACATGAAATGAAGCCATTCTTGTTTTAAAGGTTCAACTTATCACCTTTGCTAAGATGTGACCATTTGCCGCCCAGCCGCCAAACGTCTACCTTCTTTTGTCTCTTTTACCCAACAATTTCTTAGTACTTCAATAAGTCAGAACATTGTGCAGGCGGCCAGTTTCTCACCTACAGACACCGTTGTACCTCCCATGTCTGTAGAATGCAACAACTCCATTATAAAACAGAGCTTTTTTCCTTTTCACTTCGTCTAATTCTAAGTTTACATCTACTGGACTACTGGCTTTAAGGTAGACAGAGACTACACGCATGGCTCCTTTGGCTTCCCGTGTGCTTTCAGGTTAGGTGACGTCATTAAGATAATTCATCAATAATATAATCAGTAAGTGTTCTCATTTATTTAAATGGTATTATTGCTATATAGAATGAAATGTATAGACTGAAAATAGCAAATTAAAATAAAGAAAGCTGCACTGGTGTAATTTTTTACAAGTAAATATATCACACCCAAATCAATCAATTATCATCGATCAAATAAAAAAGGGGCTATTTACGTACAGCATGTTTATTCCTTTGACTACAACAAATATAAAGCAGCACGAAAGAGGATTGAAAATAATATGTGATTGTCATCATCATCATCATGTGTGGATAAGTTGTGAAATTGCTAAATTAAGACGAGGCATTGAACGTCCATCGTCAGTGCAAGACTATAAGCGCTTACCAAGCTCATAAACGCTTTCCATTCTACAGGGTATTAAGTCACTACGTACTGATTCACAAAAGCGTTTTATTTGAATTATCGAGTTCCTAAACGAAGATGTAATGCTTAATGGTCTACGCCCCTGCGTGCGAGAAGAGTAATTAAACTGTCGCGAATTCGTGTATAAGTATGAAAAATAGTACAACTAGATTTTCGTATGCGCACGTTTTAGTATCTCTCACCTTTCAAGAAGCTAAATTTGTACTTAGTGCTTTTAAAAGGTTACTTTCTAAAAGAAGATATCGATAACGCTTTGTAAAAAGGTCTCCATGCACCACTTATTTATGAATAATCAGTTTAATAAAGGGTAGATTTTCTA